CTCAGCCAGCTCCTGCTCCCTGTGGTGTCCCCTCCCCTCCCAGGACTGCCCTGTGCTGCAGTTCCATGTGGTGGGAGCTGGAGCCACACGTGTGGCATGTGAGAAGAAATTCAGGGATTGCTTTTGCCTGTGCCTTGAGACACAGCCAATGCTTCTGCTGGCTACTTGGGAAGCCCAGCTGGCTGCTGCTCTGGCTCAGGGGCTGCTTCCCAGCTCAGGAGTGTTTTCTGTCTTACAAGTGACCTGGAGAGGGACTCTGAACAAGGGCCTGGACGAGCAGAACAAGGAGAAATGCCCTGTCAGAGGGGAGGGTTAGATGGGATATTGCAAAGAAATTCTTCCCTGTGAGGGTGCTGAGGCCCTGGCACAGGGTGCCCAGAGCAGCTGTGGCTGCCCCATGGGTGGAAGCGTCCAAGGAGGAGGCTCAGAGCATCCTGGTCTAGTGGAAGGTGTCCCTGCCCATGGCAAGGGGTGAAATGAGATGAACTTTGAGGTCCTTTCCAATCCATACCATTCCATGTTTTGCTGAATCACTTCCCCCAGTCTTCCTTAGTTTTAATTTGTTTTTACCAGCAGTCGCTTACAAGTAGTAACAGCGGTCTCTTTTGATGGATATGTTTCATTTCCATCCTTTGTGCCTGTATTTGATAGCAATACACGTGTGGGGGCTTTTACTTCCACAGCTCCTGTCTTGGCATTCTTGTTACTGCCTTTGCCTGTAAGGCCTTGACTGAGCAAGTCTGTGTTAGGGGTCAGATGGAACAGGGAATCATGTCCTGGTTACAGTCTCCACATCCCCTTATTGTCCAAATGGGCTGCTCAGATGTGTCACATTGTCTTGTTCTCAATGGGGAAATTGAAAAATGAGATAGGCACACTCCTTTGGGACACCTTCCACCAGTCCCGGCTGGGTGCAAGTGGCAAACTGCAGGTCTCTGGTGTGCTGGATTTGTGGGAGAGTCATGCTGTTGCAGCCTCCAGCCAAGGAGCTTATGTGGCATTTCTATTTTCATGTATTTTTAGTTCCAGTCACATTGTATGTCCTTATAAACCCTTAAATAAAGTGAAGCTTTTAGTAAAGATGCAGCAGCAGTTCTGATCAGAGAAAGGAGTCCACTGGTTATTTAGATTTGTTTTTACTTCTCTAGGGTATCATAAAGCATCAGATACTTAAAATTTATAAATATATGTCTGTGTGTATAAAGAAGACTTCATTATTAGATCATGTGGGCACTGCCCAGGCTGCCCAGGGAATGGTCCCGGCCCCAAGGCTGCCAGAGCTCCAGGAGCGTTTGGACAGCGCTGCCAGGGCTGCTCAGGGTGGGGCTGTTGGGGTGGCTGTGCAGGGACAGGGGCTGGACCCAGTGGTCCTTGTGGGTCCCTTCCCACTCAGGGTATTCTAGGATTCTGTGATAGGCTTCTGTTGGATTTTTGTAAACCTTTTAAGGAATTCCTTTCCAGTGGACAGAAGCCTCTAATGCCTGTTTTGATCATGAAGGGTTTTGGCAAGTCAACCTGCCTCACCTGGTTTGGAGGGAGTGGAAGGGACACCTTCCACTCTCCCAGGTTGCTCCAAGCCTCATCCAGCCCAGCCTGGAACACTTCCAGGGATGATGGGGCAGCCACAGCTCTCTGGGCAACCTTTGCCAGGGCCTCCTCACCCTTACCTTGTGAAGGTTTTGCTCCTCTGGCTGGTAGAGCTGAAACTTGAACCCTTTCCTGCACAGAGGAGGCTTTCCAAGAGGAAATTCCTGCCTGTCCTGCAGGGCGTCAGCTTAGTGGTGGTGGTGTCCAGTGTGACTGTGAATATGGAAAAAACACAAGTGTGAGATGGGATTTGCTGAATGCCACAACTGAAGTGTTTATTTCAGAGGCTGCATAGAAGCCCTGCACATATGAGAACAGAACTGAAGGCAGCAGGTCAAGCATGCATGAAGTGCCTGGCAGAGCCCACGCACAGACTGGGGGCAGGACAGAAAGTTGGGGTTTCATCTCGGGGTTTCCCTCCACGAGCCTCTCATCCCATTTCTGAGCACGGCCTGGTAAGCCACACCAAATCGGATAAGAATCATTTCAATTAGCTCATTAAGTGCCGAAACTTCCCCCAGCTCCCGCTCCCGCAAACCCCAGTGCTGCCTCGTGGCTCAATAACCCCTGGAGCTGGAGTTAAATCAGATTTTGCCAGACCATCTGTCAGCTTGTTTGGGCTGAGCACAGCCATGTGCCGTGCACAGAGGAGCCAGTGGAAGATTTTTACATTTTCTGACTAGACAAGTTGATTTTATAAAGCTGATTACTTCTTAGTAGTGGTGGGGGCAGAGGGAGGTTTTGCTGGGGCTGCTCTTACCCACATCAAGCATCGTTTCTCCCCAAGATCTGTGGTTCCTTGCCTCCAACACCTTTCCTTTGTGTGGACGGTTGGTGTTGGTTCCACATTTGGTACATGTACAGCAGCAGACACTTAAAAGCTGGGAATGAAAGTGGCTTGTGGTAATTATCACAAAATTAAAGATAATCTCCTGCTCTGGAATTGTGACAAAGTGCAGAAACAAGCTTAGTGCAGCAGGAGAGCAGTGGCAGCCGTGCAGGGAGAGCACGTTCCCCTGGCCCAGGGCTCTCAGCTGTGCTGTATTCCCAGCAATTTCCAGTGCTCAGTCTGGAGCAGCATTAGCTCCTTTGGATTCCCCCATGGTCTGGAAGTGCTGCTTCAGCTTGTGCCCTGGAAGTTCATTAGCCAAATGCTCACTCGGCCCTGTATTTCCTGCTCTCCGGGACATTGCAGGGTGTTTTGTTCAGTGATCATAAAATTGTGTTGGCTTAGGCCAAAGAACAAATTTTTCAGCACGGTTTGAGCTCGCAGTGGTCCTGAGCCTTGTGGTGCTGCACTTTGAGGGCTGGAGGAGTGACAGGGTTCATGTCCCGTGGTGTGTGTCACCTGCCGGTGTCAGTGACACCCCTCACCTGAGTGCGTGACCGAGGGGAGCTGCTCTGCACCCTTCGGGGTCCCCCTCTGCTCGCTTCTCTCTGCCTGTTTGCAGTGGCATTGTGAGGCACAGGCAGTGGCATTTCAGTGGCTGTTCCTGAGGCAGGAGCTGGGCACTGTTTAAAAGACAATAACAAGAAGTGACTCCTCCCGTGCCGCCCTGGCTCTGCCCCACAGGCCGGGCTGCAGGCCCGGGGCTGCTCTGCAGACAGCTCCAAGTGCCGCGTGACAAGACCTGTTTCACATGAGGGACTGCCCAGTTTGTGGAGATGAGGATGGTGAGACACCTGCAGCACTTCTGAGTCAGAGCAGCTTCATCTCCCCTGTGTTCACCAAGGGTTTTTTGTTGGGTTTGTTGTTTATTTTCTTTCCGGAGTCTGAAATGTTTTCCAAAATGTAACTGAGTCACACACTTCCCTGGCGTTGTCGTCCCATTATCATGGAATCTTGGAATGTTTTGGGTTGGAAGGGACCTTACAGCTCATATTGTTCTACCCCCTGCCATGGGCAGGGACACCTTCCTATAGACCAGGTTGCTCCAAGTCGTGTCCGGCCTGGCCTTGGACACTTCCAGGGATCCAGGGGCAGCCACAGCTGCTCTGGGCACCCTGTGCCGGGGCCTCACCATCCTCACAGGGGAGAATTTTTTTGCAGTATCCCATATAATCCTGCCCTCTGGCAGTGGGAAGCCATTCCCCCTTGTTCTGTCTCTCCAGGCCCTTGTCCCCAGTCCCTTTCCAGCTCTCCTGGAGCCCCTTCAGGTACTGATGCCCAGGTTCTTGCTCAGGCTCCTTCTGAAAGAAGCCTTGGAGCAGCATCACTGCTTCCCTTTGAGGGGGTTGAACAGGCACCCTGGGTATACCCTCAAAGTTCTTCCTTAACCAAATGGGGGAGATGCTGAAGCAGCAGAAGTTGGGTTGGGGGCTCTTGGGCTTTTCCTGCTCTCCAGCCAGGATACAGAGGACATCCACTCCCTCCCAGAGAGGACCACCCCCTAATTTGAGTGTAGATGAACTCAAAACTGCATTCAATGGTCTTTTGCAAATTAAGCCCTTTCTGAAGGACTGTGGATTGCTAAGGCTCTGTGCCTGTAGGAATGCTGTAGGACAGGAGCAGGGAGTGGCAGACTCATACGTGGAAGCAAGGCCTTAAAGCTGTCCCTTGAGTTTGTGTTCTGTGCTAGAGACTCCTCCATGGGAACTGGTCTGTGCACACACAGGTGCTGGGGTGGTGTGGGGAGCTCCTCTCCAGCAGCTCTTGATCCTTCCTGGTAGCTCTCAGGAGCCAGCTGGGCTGGATCTCAGGGTCCCACATTCCACACAGGAGCCTGTGCTCCCTGCTGTCTGAAATTGAGGAGCTTCTTGCAAACTTGAGCTCGGAAAAACTCAGAAAAACAAACTCAGATTAGGAAATGGGAGATGGCCTCATGTTGAGGGTTTGGGCCTGTGTTTCCAGCTCTGATTTTATACCTAAAAGCTTAAGGCAAAACTCTGATTTCCACTGTTGGCTGTAATGGAGCAGCAGTGGCTTCTCCTGAGGCAGCGATAAAGATAAATGATGCATTCATTTGTGTGATATATTTGGACATAGGATTCTATAAATATATTCAATTATCAATATGGTTTGTCAAGTGCCTTCCGAGTGGCTGGAAAACAGCTTCAGGAGTGTCTCTCTGGGTTTCTGTGTGGATCCAACTCTTCAGCATAGTGTAGAACCACTGCTTAATGGGGCAGCAGAGATTTGCGAGACCTCCCTGCTGAAGCCTCTAGGAAATACTGTTGCTGGGAAAAAATGTGCATTTTTGTACTTCTGAATATGAAATTGTTTGGGTGACTCCTGTACCATCAGATTCCTGCACTGGTGAAGCTGAAAACCGAGTAAAACCAGCTGCTCTAAAAGCTGGCTGCTGTACTTGAAAAGACAAAGCTTTGAGCTGTTTTCTGAGTTCTGGTGCTTGGGTTGAGGGTTTTTATTGGATGTCCCTACTTCTTCTAATGCTCTTCTCTTTTGTCTGCAGGTCTGGGCGCAAAGAAGACAGCCATCACTGAGGTGAGATGTGTGAAGCTGGGTTTGACAATCCTGTGTTGAGAAATGAGAACACAGAGCTCTAGGAAACTCTTCTGCTTGCCTTTTTTTTTTTAGCATTTCAAAATGCATTTCAAAATACTTACGAGATTACTACAAAATCGCTGTTTGTTATTTGGAAGAAATAAAATTAGTGGCAGGTCTCCAGGGTCCCTCCATTGGCATCACTGCAGCCACAGAAGGGATGTGGAGGGATTGTGCCCATCATGTGGCCAGTTCTGGCTGTGTGATCCGTGATACCTTTGCACTGGGACTGAGGGCACCTCTTGCACACCAGCACCTGAAGGTGGGAACTGGAGAGTGCCTGCACTGGGCATCCCCAGGCCTCTGTGGTGGGTCTTACCTGTCATTGTCGCTGCTTTTAATGAAAGGGTGGGACTGTTTTCTGGCTAAGAATGATTTATTGCTCAGATGAACATCAATCTCAGAGGCAGTGAGATCTTAGAGGAGCAGGCAGTCGGCCATAGCTCAAAGTCTGCTACCTTCTGGGTTGGCAAAGAAAGGCCTAGGCAGACTCAAAGGTAGGAGAGGAGAAAGGGACGGGAGCAGATTTGTTGTCACCCTGAAGTGCTGGCAGTCTATAGCATTTCTGTAAACTTCAAAACCTGTGGAAGAGACATTCCTGTGGCTCACCCTGTGTGGGCTCAGCCTTGGAATTGTAAACAGATGAGATCTTGCTTAAATAGATTATCTCAGTGTGAGTGGGGCTGGGCTGTCCCAGCAGCTGGCTCTGATCTCTCCAGCAAAACCCGAGGTGTCAGTGTGACACCTGAGGGTGTGGGATTTTAAGAATAAATCTCTGGCTGTTTGATTTAATACATCACTGTTTTAAATCAATGAGAAACTGCAGTCAAGCACCAGGGGAATCTTGGCAGCTGGATCTTTTCCAAGCTTGGTGTCTTTGCTGCGGGCTCTGCAGCGAGCTGTGGGGGTGTCAGGTGGAGTGAACTCATCTTCAGGGGTGGAAGTATAATTCAAAGAGCTTCACTTTCACCTGTTGGCACTCTGCCAGGTGTTCTCCAGCAGTACCATGAGCCCAGTGTGCAGTACAGTGTGGGAGTGTGGCTGTGCTGCTCTGTATGTGCTTGGTGGCAGCTCAGCCCAGGCCCTGACTGTCCCTGTGCTCTCCTTGCAGGGCCCCTCACTGCCAGGACAGCCAGGCCAAGGAAAGAAGATTGGTCATCGAAGTGTGGATGCTTCTGGGGAAACCACCTACAAAAAGGTTTGGGTTTGGGGAGTGGGGGATGGCACCCAAGTAGGTGACAGGCTGAGAGAAGTTATGGCTCAGTAGTTATTAATCTGGTTGAGATTTTTAAGCAGCACTCTTGGGCAGCACAGTCCTGAAAATAGCGAATCTGAAGCCCTAATTGATCTCTTCAGCAGCTGGGTAAACTTGGTTAGCAGCATGTGGTGCCTGAGATGACCCCACAAAAGTCACAGACATGACTGTGTTGTAATGCAGGGGATGTTATTGTGATAATCTGCTGTGAAATGCTCACCGACTGCTCTTTTCCTTTTGCCAGACCACCTCGTCCACTCTGAAGGGGGCCATCCAGCTGGGGATTGGATATACTGTAGGAAATCTGAGCTCCAAGCCAGAGAGAGATGTCCTGATGCAGGACTTCTACGTGGTGGAAAGCATTTTTTTCCCAAGGTAAAGGAGAAGGAGAAAAAAATGAATGCATGAATTACTTCTTTTCTTTTCCTCTCACTGATTTTTCAAGAGAGCTTCCATCTGTCTTTAGATCAGAGTTGTATGCTCTGAATGTTTTAAATCTGCTCCGTGATACACAAACAGAGCAGTGGGAAGTGTTGGAATCTGCAGTGCACTGGCCTGCAGGGAAGCACAGTGAAGGATGCAGTACTGTGCACTCCAGTTTGTTACCCTTCCTACGTGCTTGTCTTCCTAGCTGTCCATCTAGAATTTCTTCCACAAAATCATACCATGTTTTATGTGGAAGCAGCTCCTTCTGGGAACTCTCTAACTGTGAATAAACAAAGCTCATAAAAGTTATGTTCTCTGTGTAAATATATTCTGCTTGGCAAGTGGTTGTTCCTTTAATCTCTGGAAATAGATTTTGGCAGATAGTTTGAAACCTGTTTTCCTGTTTTGCTACCACAGAAGAAAGGTGGTGGTTGTTGTTCCAAAGATGTCTTTTCGCAAGGCTCAGTGCATCTGAAGCACACAGTAGCTTTGGTGTGACTGTGCTTGTCTGGTGAGTGCTAACAGGCCGTGCCTGTGTGTGTTCTGTGCAGCGAAGGCAGTAACCTCACCCCAGCTCACCACTACGCCGACTTCAGGTTCAAGACCTATGCCCCCGTGGCTTTCCGGTACTTCCGAGAGCTCTTTGGGATTCGTCCAGATGATTATTTGGTATGGATATATTTTTAGATTTTTCTGTCTTGTCCTCCTTTATTTACCTTTACCATTGAGGGTGGTAAGGCCCTGGCACAAGTTGCCCAGATAAGCTGTGGCTGCCCCATCCCTGGGAGTGTTCCAGGACAGGTTGGATGGGGCTGGAGTGTTGTAGTGGAAGATATACATGCCCATGGCAGGGGGTGGAATGAGATGGGTTCAAGGTTCTTTCCATCCCAAAGCATTCCATGATTCCAAGTCTGAGTTTGCTGAACAGCAGCTGCCAGCCTGTACTGGAGGGAGGCCATGACCTGCACACAGTGTTAGCTGTGTAAGCCCTGCAATGGGCTTCCCTCTCTGGTCCTTGTGGTAACAATAACTTACTGTGTTTGCAAGCCAAAGGAGTTGTGTTCTGCTGGGTGCGACCCTGGAATGTCCCCTGCAACTCTAAGGACAAAGATGGGAATTTTTTCTTGTGTACTCACTGGAGAGCTATGTGAGTGTAGTTATTTTAATCATCTTAAAAACACAGAATAAACCACAGCTTGTTCTTGTGCTTCAAAAGCTCCTCAGAGCTGGAAAGGCTGGTTTTCAAATACCTTGGAGTACAAGCTGTTGGGGCTTCAAGTGCCCTGTGGTTGAATTTGTGCCCTTGCCATTATGTGACGTCTTGTTCTGTGTGATCTGAGGAAGGAAATACATCCATGAGAGCACATCCTCCCCTTTTGGGACAGCCCTTTTTGTGTGACTGCACCTGTAGATAGGGGTGGTCGCAGCTGAGCACCTGCCAGTGAAACAAACCTGTGCCAGGGCCTGGTGGGAGGGTAAGAGCAATCTCCCCCTGTGCCAGCCAAGGCAGTGCTGCCTGATGGATGTGTGTTCAGAACCGAGGACAGGCAAGGAGTATGCCTCGGTTGCAAAGGTCATGGCTTTGATTTGTTGGTTTCTGCTTCTCCTGACTGTCTCTTGCCTGCCACAGCAGCAAATGCCTTTAATTATGCATGAGATGATTAGCTTGATCAAGTCTGGGATTGTTAATCTGTGCAGAGCTGAAAGCTGTTTTCATTACATAATGATGAGCATTCAATTTATTTTTCTGATCACCTCCCTCTCCCCATCTCACCTCTCTCTGAGCAGTTCTGTGGTGCTTCCCTGAACCCACCTGATCCCTGCACTGTCTGGGTAGGCACTGAGCTAAAAAGTGCATGTGCCTGCCTTGCTTTCTCTTTTTTTCCCTCTGCTGCTGGGCAAGTCCTTATCTGAGGACCTTTTTGGTGTCTTGATGACCAGATGTGCTCTCCCAGTTCAGGTCCCAGTGCAGAACTCTTTGCTGTGCTTCAGCAGGGCTCATCCCTTTTCATTGCACACTTGGGATAAAGCTTGTCCTGTGTTTTTAGCAGGATTGATGGAGTGAGGTGTGGCTGTAAAAATACAGCCAGGCTGGATGGAGCCTGGAGCAACCTAGTCTAGTGGAAGGTGTCCCTGCCCATGTATGAAATGAGATGAGCTTTAAGGTCATTTCCAGCCCAAACCATTCTGGGATTCTGTGAATCAGGCACGGACTTTTGCAGGGAAGAGGGGAGCACAAGGCCAGGGGAGGCTGCTGAGAACAGCCAGTGTGTTGTGTTCCCTCCAGCACAGTGATACGTGGTTCCCTGAGCAGGCTGTGGCGTCTCCTGGAATCCTCTGTGCCCATCAGCGTGCGCTGGGCTGTGCTCAAAGAGCCTGAGTGGGATACGTGCTTGCAGGCACAATGGGAACAGATAAGATGTCATTATGAAGGCTGGATGTTCCTGAAAGCAGATGATTAGTTGGATACTGAGCAGTTGGGATGCTCTGAACTGTAATCTTAGTCTCTAATTATAAATTGTCCATCAGTTTTGTTGCTCAGACCAAACCTATAATGAAAATAGTTCTCACTTGAGCTTTGCTACCCCTTAATCTCCCAGGGAGACGACGTGATGGGGAAGGCCCTTGAGGGCATACATACAACTCTAATCTGCAATAAATGGGGGATGAAGCATCACCTTCTTTTCTTTTTCTCGCCAGTATTCGTTATGTAACGAGCCTCTGATCGAGCTGTCCAACCCCGGGGCCAGCGGCTCCCTCTTCTATGTCACCAGCGACGATGAATTCATCATCAAAACTGTGATGCACAAGGAAGCTGAATTCCTGCAGAAGCTTCTTCCTGGATACTACATGGTATGTATCACCGAGGACCCAGCTCAGCTTTGTCATGGCAGCTTTTCTGTCATGGCAGAGCACCTCACAGGGCATGTCCTCCACCTGGCTGTCTTGTGGCCTCCCCCATGCCAGGGACATGCAATAGCATGTCATGAAGCCAGTCTCAGAAGCACAAATCCTACTGATTATTTGCAAACTCTGTGGGTAAACATGAGGCAGATAATTGTGCTGTAGTTTGCAGGCATGTTCTGGCCTCAGAATGGCTTCCCAGATGTGCACTTCTGAGTGTCCTTTTCCCAGAACTAGTTCATTCCTCTGCACTTGGCAGTGTGCATCTGCCCCAGCCTGCATTTGGGGATGGCTGCTGATTGCAATCATAGAATAGTAAAACTCTTAAGGTTGGAAAAGACCACCAAGATCATCAGGTCAAACCTTCTGCTCAGCACCATGATGGTCACCACTAAACCTTGTCCTCAAGTGCCATGGCCACACATTATTTGAATGCTTCCAGGAATGGTGACTCCACCACTGCCCTGGACAGGTTGTTCTAATCCTTTACAACCCTTTCCATGAAAAAATTTCCCCTAATATCCAGCCCTAACTTGAGGCTATTTCCTCTCATCCTTCCCTTGTTCCTTGAGAGCAGAGCCTGACCCCCACCTGGCTGCACCCTCCTGTCAGGGACTTGTGGAGAGCAAAAGGTCCCCCCTGAGCCTTCTCTACTCCAGGCAATAATGCAACCACCCTGGTTTTGTGAGGAAAGCACTGCTGTCCCTGAATCTCTCCCATTCCTTCTGTTTGACTGTTACTCTGAGGATTGTCCTGACTCCCACTGGCAGCAGTTCCAAGCTGGAGACCCCCAAGGTGCCAGCCAGCTTTGCATATCAGTCTGGCAAGGCAGGATATTGAGACCCAGAGTCTTGCATTGGGTCAACCTGCTGTTTTGGTGTGAAAACCAGGAGCTGGTCTCTCTGCACAACCATGCTGGACGTTCTGGATCTATGGATGAGGACTCTTGACATTCAGTTACAAGGAGCAGGGATTTGTTTGTTGTGAAGATGCCAAGGAGAAGGTGATGAGAAGCAATGCTGCTGCCCCATCTGTGTGCCTGGTGCAGTGGGGTTATGTGATCTTACACTGGTTCTGTGAAAATCCTTCCCTCGCTCAATATTTACTGGGGAAAGTTTCCCCAAGAGAGGCAGGTTGTGGGATGTCTGTGTGTTAATGACAGCCACGCCAGGAAGAAGTTCTTCCCTGTGAAGGTGGGGACTCCCTGGCACAGGTTGCTCAGAGTAGCTGTGGCTGCTTCATCCCTGAGAGTGTTCCAGGCCAGGCTGGACGGGGCTCGGAGCACCCTGGGACACTGGAAGGGGTCCCTGCCCATGGCACAGGTGAAACCAAATGGTCTTTACAGTCCCTTCCAACCCAAACCATCCTGAGATTCTGTGAATCACTTGCTCTTGCAGGTGACACTCTCATTCCTGGACAGGGTGAGTTTTCTTGGAAAGCACTGCCTGTTACCTAATGTGTGTGGTAAATCAGGTGTGGGGTTTTGAGTGGGAATGGAGTTGCACTGTTAATCCTGCCATCATCAGTCGGTGAATTAAACTGAACTTACCTGTCTGATGCAGAGTTCTGAGTGACCTGCAGCTTTCCACTGTCTGTGGGTTCTGTGGTGCTACCCCTGATCGCTCTGCTGCTCCTGGGAAACCACCCATATCAAAGGAGTCAGGGAAAGGAAGCAGGGTGGTTTCATCCTGAGTTACTTTAAAGCTGTTTCCATTTACCTGCCTCTATTACTTTTGGCACTCTCCAAAAGGGCTCACTACTGTGCCCAGGTGGGTGAGCTGAGGGAAATGAAATTTTAATACAGTCACGTTTCTGCTGTCTGTCAGAACCTGTCAGGTCTGTCTTTCCTGCCACAGCGTGCAGAGAAGTTCTGTTTCCTTCCCAAATGTGCCCAAAGCTGAACAAGCAAATCCTGCCTGTCATGTCATTCCTAATTATTCTGCTGCCTAAAAAAAAGGAGATGACAGCAGAACAGGATATCCGTGCTTTCTGCTTGACTGCTTTATAAAGCAACTCTGCAACAGGAGGAAAACATTTATGTTGTTTTGTTTAAAAAATAACCCTGTCCGTGGTTTATTCTGGGCTGGAGAACAACTCTTGATTCTGACACTGGTGGAGAGATAAAGAGCTGTTATTTTTAAGCTTGAAGTTCCCACTTATTGTGTTTATTTCTCTCCCAATTTGGTTTCCTTTTTTTAACTGCTGTACTTGGGGAAAGCAGGGGATTTCCGGACTTGGTTATTTGCCCAGAGAGTGCTGAACATCTCAGTCCCTGTATTTTCAGGTCCTAAAGCCACTGAAATGCAGGACTTTGTCAAATGCATACACTGAGCTCCTGTTAAGTTCAGAAAACCTCTCAGCTAGAGAGGTTTGGACTAGAATTCTGGACTAGAATCCCTAGTCCAACTGTTGACATGCTTTGTGGTGAACACAAAGCAGGAATTTTCTGCTCAAATTATGTTTTTCCATGCTTTTTTCCACCCTTGCTACAGAATCTGAACCAGAACCCCCGGACACTGCTGCCCAAGTTTTATGGACTGTACTGTGTGCAGTCCGGGGGCAAAAACATCCGCGTGGTCGTGATGAACAACATCCTGCCTCGAGTGGTGAAAATGCACCTGAAATTCGACCTCAAAGGTTCAACCTACAAACGCCGGGCATCCAAGAAGGAAAAAGAAAAGTCCAGCCCTACGTACAAGGATCTGGACTTCATCCAAGACATGCCTGAGGGCCTGATGTTGGATGCAGACACCTTCAGTGCTTTGGTGAAGACATTGCAGCGAGACTGCCTGGTAAGGAGGGGGCAGCTCAAGGACAGGGCAAGGAACTCTGTGGCTCTCGAGCATGAGGAAGAGCAATTCCCAATTGAGAACCTTGCTAATGAGCCCAGAGTAGGATCAATCCTGTCTCCTGCCCTTTTCCCTGAAAGCCAGGCAGTAGAGTTGGATCTTGTAGCAGCCTCTGAGGACTGAGGCTGTGCTCCTTTGTCTGGTGCATCACACTTTGGGAGCCTGCTCCCCTTGTAGCTGCTTTGCTGGAGCATTTTCCCAATCATTGTGCAGCAGATACAGTGGTTGTTTGCAAGCCTTCAGGCCTTTGCTGTGACTGTGGGATGGCCAAACTCTGTGCATTGAAGCCCAGAAGTGACTGTTGGTTCAGAAACTTCCAGACTCTGTCAAATTAGTTGTTAGTGGGGATGTGGGTGGGAGGCTTTGCTTTGATTGCTTTGATACCATGCTTCCTGGTCTGTATTTCTGCTACTGGCTTGATACTTTGTCTTTGTTCTTGAACTCAATATTAACCTGTAGGTATTGGAAAGCTTTAAAATCATGGACTACAGCCTCCTGCTTGGGGTTCATAACATAGACCAGCACGAGCGGGAGCAGCTGTCGGAGGGAGCCCACAGCACATCGGATGAGAAGCGTCCCGTGGGGCAGAAGGCCCTGTACTCCACAGCCATGGAGTCCATCCAGGGAGGGGCTGTGCGGGGGGAGGCCATCGACACGGACGACACGTGGGTGAAACCTGGGCTTGCTCGTGCTGCTGGGAGGGCCAGAGGTGGAGGCTGGAGTGGGAAATCCCTCATGAGGCCCACAGGAACTGTTCAAGGGAGCAGCTCTCCTGGGGTTTTCATAGTGCTGCCGTTGTGGTGGGAAAGGGGGAAGCCAGGGTGGGAAATAGTTCTGTAAGGCTCTGGCCTCACAGCAGTCTCTCATCTTAGGGCAGGCTGTAGGCTGTCAGCTTGTGTAACAGCCTCTAAACATCCACCCCTTCCCTGGGGAGGAGACAGTTCTCGCTCAGCACCCAAATACTGGAGCAGAAGTAGGGATCAGCCTGTCCCTAGGAGCTTGGAGTTCTCCATCACTCCCACCTCTGGAATCCCTGGCTGTTCCCTGAGGCCATCCAAGGGGTTTAGCAGATAGCAGTGTAGCCAGGTGCTCGAGTCACTGATGGAGCTGGAGGCTGTCCCAGGCCTGTGCTGTGCTTGACCTGGCATTCTGCCCGGCTCCCTGGCTCTTGGGCCAAGGAATGGTGGAGTTTGCTGCTTGCTGCTGTCTGAAACCAGCTGCTGTGGGTTTGATGGAGGGTCAGTCCTGAGAGCTGAGGTAATACTGTGGTGCTTCCAGTCCTTCAGGCAGCATCAATAATTGCAGTGGCTGCCTGAAGGAGTGTCTGGCACTCCTGTGCTTTGGTTGTGTGCTGGTGCCAATGGTTGCTGCACTTTGGCAGGATGGCATTAGTGTGGATAGGACTGGAATCCTTTGTCCTTGAGGATTTACTGCCCTAATGGCAGACAGCTCTCACTGACCCCATAAATAACCTGATCCCCAGAATAAAGTAGGCAGGAGAAAACTCCATGGTGCTTTCTGGCCCAGGCAGAGCTGTGCCACACAATGCAGGTTCTGTCATGACAGTAGTGTTTGGCCATGCAGGCAGTGACCCTGGGACACCTGGGGTCAGGCCAGGTCAGTCAGTGACTCCCATGGTTGTGCATAAAGTGAGCACACTGGTTTTAGAATGTGTCTGACACACCCCAGAGCCCCTTAGCATGGCTGCTGTTGCCCTTCCCCAGAGCTTGGGTGTTACAGGTGCTCTGGCTGAGGCTGTACCTGCTGAAGTTCTGCTTGACTTGCAGGATGGGAGGGATCCCAGCAGTGAATGGCAAAGGAGAGCGTCTCCTGCTGCACGTAGGAATCATAGATATCCTGCAGTCATACAGGTGGGTAACCTGGCAGTGTGTGTTTGTTTGCATTAAATTGATATTTGGTGAGGAGAGAAACCACCACATAGTGTGTCTTTAGTGACTGATAGTACCAAATGAAAGCAGGGTGCATGTTCTCTCCTGGAGACTGTGAGGATGAGTAGATATGGCTGCCCCAAGCTGGCCATGGGCTTCCATCATGTCCTTAGAGCAGCTGGGGGCACTCAGCCCTGTGTCCAGGGTGATGAGCTACTTATAAAGAAGTAGTTTCCCACCTCAGCGTGGGAAGCATATCTCCAGGGGTGGAAGGTGTACCTCTTCCAGCCCAGCTCCTCCTTCCCTGTGGTGTTCCCAGGCAGTCCCAACCTCCTGGGGGAGATGCTGAAGAAAGCTCAGTCCTGGTGACATTGGCAGCTCAGGCATCTCCCCTGTAGGGTATGAAAGGGGGCTTGGTACAGAGTGCATGCCTGAATATGTATCTTTATTTTTCTCTCCACTTCTCCTTGGAATTAGGTTCATCAAGAAGTTAGAGCACACCTGGAAGGCCCTTGTCCATGATGGGGTGAGTGCCTGTGCAGAGGCAGGAGTTGTCCAAGCCTCACAGGATTACTTGGTGGCTATTTATGGAGCCTGACCTGGCACAGCTGCAGCTGATAAAAGGAGCAGTTCTTGCCCCTTATTCCTGCACAGCAGGGTGGTGCCACTTATTCCCAGCCAGGTTTCCTTGCTCAATCCAGCTCCTCACATGTTGTGCTCACAGCTTTCCTCGCCTGCTCCTGTCTCCCATGACAGCAGGAGCACACAGCCAGGTGTGTGTGTTCCTGGGCTGTCAGGAGCCCTGTGCTGTTCTCTCTGGTGACTGGCTGTTTCCACCTCAGCAAGCTCTCTGCCAGCAAATCCCTTTCCATGTTTCCTTGCTGGCTTCATTCCTGCAGCAGCCAGGTGTGTGTTTCTGAAAGAACAACCTTGGATGTGGAAACCATTTTTCAGCCTTGCATTTCCTGTCTTCCCTTAAAGTGGCAACAGAAATGTGGAGATGCCAAGTCATGGAAGCGCAGTCAAACATCAGAAGCAGAAAGAGCCTCAGTCTTACTATTTTAAAAAAGAATATTTGAAATATATGGAGACCCTTGGCTGAATTTGGGTGTCTGTGTGACATGCAAAAGTATCCAGGTTTGATTGGAATGACAGCCAGCAAAGCCAGAAGAAATTTCATGTATGCAATCAGGCCAGTGTTTAAAAAAATCCAGGAAGTTCTACAAAGGAATAAAATCACCAAAATCCATTATAAAATCACAGCAAGAATATAATCAAATGCAATCAGAGGCAATGCTTCAGGGTTATTTATAGCATTAATTAGAGTGTTTCAGTTAAGCCTTTCCATTTTAAGGCTCTGTCAGTGCTAAATGTTGGAATAAAAAAGACTCTGTTGGTTGTTACAGAAATTCTGCCTTGAGGGATCATTTTAAAATTAAACAATTGCTTCTTGCTGTTGTAGGACACAGTGTCAGTACACAGACCCAGCTTTTATGCAGAGAGATTCTTCAAATTCATGACCAACACGGTGTTTCGAAAGAATTCCTGTAAGTACCAAGTTCAGGGGCTGCTGTGCTCTGAGGTTTTACCTTGGCCTTGCTGCTGCAGGCCTCACAAGGAGTCTGGGCTAGAGCCTGAGCAGGGTTTTCCAGTGTGGTACAGCTGTGAGAGCTGGGGGTGTACAGCCTGGAGAAGGCTCTTAGGAGACTTAGAGCCCCTTCCAGTGCTTAAAGGGGGCTTAGAAAAAGGAGGGGGAAGGGCTTTTTATACAGGCAGATGGTGACAGGCAAGGGGCAATCAATTGTTGTGAGGCTGTCAGGGTTAGATGAGAAGTTAGGAAGTCTGAGGATGGGGAGGCCCTGGTACAGGTTGCCCAGAGCAGCTGTGGCTGCCCCTGGATCCCTGGCAGTGTCCAAGGCCAGTGTTGCTTGCGTGTCCCTGCTCTAGTCCCTGGCCATGGAGGGGGTGGAATGAGATGTTTTTATGGTCCCTTCCAACCCAAAACATTCCATGATACAGAGCAAAACAGAACTGCAGAGCCCTCAGATTGTCACAACTTGCCTTGGTCTGCCCAGACTGCTACCCATTGCCTGCACCTGAGCTGGGTTCAGTCCAGAAGGGATGTGTGTGAGGGCAGAGCCTCTCCTTGTGAAGGGAAAAGCTCCTTTGATGTGACAGTAGCCGGTGGTGGTGCTTTGACCCTTTGTGCCTCCCTGCCTCCCCAGCTCTGAAGTCGTCCCCCTCCAAGAAAGGGCGCAGTGCCTTGCTGGCCGTGAAGACGGCGGGTCCCACGGCGGCGTTCTCGGCCAGCCAGCTGGCCTCCGACAAGGACGACACCCAGTACGACCTGCGGGCGGCCAGGAGCTACCCCACGCTGGACGATGAAGGTGACAGCCCCGCGCAGGGTGCTGCCTCTGTGCTTACCCTCTCTTTCCTAGCAGTTCTTTAGGATCCTCCCTTGTTCTCATCAAGCTCCCCACTGCGCGCCAACTGCAGATCTTTCCTCATGGATAGCTCTTCATTGCATGTCTTGCTGTGCTTTGCAGGTGCTAAACCTAACCAGGACAGGGAAGAAGGTAAGAGTGCATTGTTTTGTCGCAGCACCAGCAGGTACTTGATGCAACGCCTCTGCATCAAAGGAGACCACATCCCTTCTTTGCAGCACTGTGGGGTTCTGCAGTAAAAATGGTCACCTGCATCACTGCTGCAAGACAGCTGCTGCCAAGGGGCACCATAAGTCATAGCCCAAAGCCAATAGAAAGTTGTATTTTCTACCCTTCAAAAAAAAGACTGGGGTGGGGGGGCTGACTGGGAACTGCAGCACTCCAATGACAGTGTTTGAGCAGTTATAAGAGGCAGGATCTTGCTGTTGGGAAACAGGAATGGGCTGATTCTGTGCTGCCTTTCCTTCACTTCCATCTGGCTGCATTTACAGCTGAGTGCTGGAGGACAAGCTCCTCCAGTGCATGGGTGTTGGATTGCTCCCTGAGCAAAGCACTGAACACTCAGTTCACCTCTTAATTCACTTGGATATTTATCCCTGGTGATCCAAGCCTTTAATCCAGCTTTGGTCCCCAGTGAGAAGTCTTCATTGGCATTCTATTCCCTTCCTGTTGTGCTGGAAGTGGTGCTGACTGGCTCTCCCCAGAGGATGCCTTGGGAGAGGCTGTCATGACCCAGCTAAACTTCTGCCTGTCTGTGGTTTGAGTGCCCAGTCCCAGTGTGGGTGTGCAGGTTCATGGTGGAACAGCCTCACATGGGGCTGGTGTAGGTGAAGTGTTGGTGTTTGACTTAATCATCTCTTCTTCCTGCCTCTCCCCTGCCCTGCTCTGGGCCAGCAGGCAGGCCAGACCTGCTCCCTTGCACTCCTCCTTCCTTTGAAGAAGCTACCACGGCCTCCATAGCCACGACACTGTCGTCAACATCTCTCTCTGTTCCCGAGCGATCCCCCTCGGAGTCCTCTGAGCAGCCCAGGTACAGGTGAGGAGAATTCCCTGCTCCCACTGGTGCTGAGTAGCTGCTGCTGCTCTCTGTGCTGCAGATCCCGACAGGCTGCCCTGCACTCTGGAATGCTAATGACCGGTTTTAATTAAATCTCTCCTGGGAGCAAGCAGACACAGCTTTGATGGGATTAATTATTGCTGGAAGAAGTGTCAGCTGTTAAGTAGAACATCTCCCTCATGGGATGTGGAGGTAGATTTGGGGACAGTGCAGGATTTCTGGCTTAAATTGCTCCTCCAAACTCTTCTGTTTTCTTTCCACAGGAGGCGTACACACTCCTCAGGGCAGGATGGCAGGTGAGAAATGGGTCTCCTGTCTTCTTGTCTCATCTTCTCTCTGCTGCACAGAGATCTCATGTTTATCCCTGTGCAAAGGTCACGTAGAGGGCTGAGTGGGAATTTCAGCAGCTCCAGGATTTTGGCATGGATGCTGAGCTGCTTCTGCAATCAGATGATCCCCATTTCTTACACAGAATTTTCCTTGCAAAGCAGATCTCGTAGTGCTTTTATTTGATTATTTGATAGGAAGGGGGACAACAGTGTTGTCCAAATTTACCCACCCACCCAGCACCAGAGTCAAGGAAGGTCATTTAAGTCCTTTTAAGCAAGTAAGAGAGCCCTGAAGCAGGAACATTCCTCCTCTGAGCATCTGTTTGTGGCCTGGGCAAAGTGAAAGGGCTTTGACTTTGTGAGGCACTGAGGACCCTCAGTCCTCACAGAAGTAGCTTCCATTGTTTTCAGAAATCTGTGAGGCTTTTTTTCCTCCTCTGGTGTCTCAGAGCCAAGGGCAAGGTAGGACAGAAATGCTGTGCTGCAGAGGGGTGTCTGATTTTTGAGGCTCTTACCATTAAATTATTGTGAATTATTGTGGAATTATTTTGCATCAGTAAAAATTACCCCATTGCCCATGTCAGCAGGATCTGCACGAGGAGCCAGCGGATGCTGCTGGCTCTGCCCTCGCTTTCCAGGACATTGTGTAGGTGTAGTAGGCTTTGAAATGACATCAGAGACTCAGTCCTAGGATGTGCCATAGCCAGAGGAGCCTGACAGGCTGGTGTCCTCTCTCTCTGCAGTCAGTGTTTGGTGCTTGGAAGGAAAAGTCTTTGGAAGATGAGGGTTTGCCCCACATCACAGGCATCTGCTGCAGTTCCAAGCTTTGAGTGATTTGCTGAATTCAGACACCACTATGAAAAAATCCCTTTCTATGGTGTTTCCTAATGAAAATACCTCTGGATGTTGCATGTTGCTGAATCCTGGCAAATTCCCGTCCCTGGAGGGCAGGGACCTGCTCACTGTGAGAAGTGTCAGGGACTTGTGAAGCACCTCCATCCTGCAGAATCCAGTGTCAGAAATTGCTGAAAATTGGAGACTTAAACCCAAGCCCCAGTGGTGGGGCCCATGTGGCAAATGCAGTGACTTCATCCAAAATTGTTCAGACTCGGCTGTTCCTCCTGGAGGGAGGGAGCTGCTGTGGTATGTGACTGCTCCTCCAGAAATGGGGCAGGTGAGTCAGACTGACCTGGGAGCAGTCAGTGGCTTGGTCAGAGTAGATCTGTCTGTCACAGATTTGCCAGAGCTACACTGACTGTCTGCAGGTGTGGCCACCTTTGTTGTTTTTTGCCTGATTTGTCCCTTTCTAATGCCAGTGCCTCTCTGTGCCCTTCCTGGGAGAACAGGGACCTGTGCACTTGTGGAGCTCTCTGCTATCCCCTGGTGAAAACCAGTGCAGACACAAATTTATTAAAGCAAGAATTTACATTCCTGAGCTGAGATGGAAAAAAACCTTACCCAATTTGCTCAAGAATGTATCACACCTCTGGTTGTTCTGGTTTGCTGGGGAATTCAGTCCAGGTTTGAGGTCCAGCCCTGTGAGGAAGAGTGTAGCAAGTTCTGTGCATGGAGCAGGACTGAAGTGCTGCCCACTGGTCAGAGCCAGCCTGGAGCAGGGCAGTGCTGTCAGTGAACCCAGAGCTCACCCCTTCTTTGACAACTGCCCCTTGGCTGGGCAGGCTCCTGCTGCTCCTTCCCATGGGGACAGTGCAGCCAGCCCTGCTGGCACTTTAATAGCATGAGGTATTAAAGTGAAGATTGCCAGAAGCAGTTCCACAGTGTGCAGATAAATCTCAACCCTGGAGCAGCTTTGGTGTGCCGGGAGTTTTGGAAGAGGTCAGAGGCTCTGGCCTGGTGCCAGGCTAACTCTGGACTCAGGTTTTCCCTGGAGGTCAGTTCTCTTTGCTCCCATGCTCCCACTGCCCATCTTTCCTGCTGCACTGGCTGTTTAACTCCTTTGCTCTTGTCCTCTTTTCCCACCTTGTTAATCATGAGTGCTGTAATCTTCCCTTTCTTTTTCCTGGGAGTTTTGGTTATCCAAACCCTCAATCCTGGGAGGTCTGAGTGCTCCCTCTGAGCTGAAATCAGCCATTGAGTCTGTGCTGGGAGCCCAGTGCCACGGTAGCTGCAGCAGCAGCTGTGTGCCAGGGCAGAGCTGCACAAGAGGCTTGGCTGGCTCTGGACTGATTCAGGCTGACCTAAAATTGAGGGCTATGCATAACTCATGTCCAGCTGAGTCTTTGGGCCTGTCTCCCCTTTGGTTTCCAGGTCACACGAGGAGGTGCGGGTCCAGGAGGAGGTTCAGGAAATCAGTGTCGAGCTGGAGCCCAAGTGTGACGTTGAGATTGTAGCTCCTGAAGAAGAAGTCAAAGAGTGAGTGTTTTAGAGTGTTGCAGATCCTACACAGTGGGTTTTGAGCTGTGGCTGCTTGTGCTGGAGGCTTTGCTGGGCTCTGGCTTTGCTGGAGTCATGGGTGTTCAGTGAGGTTGAGCACAGTTGAGCACTGACCTGACCTTTCAGGATGTGATAGCATAGCATCTTCAGAAGCTCCTCTGTAAGAAATCTGTTTTGCTTGCTCCTGTCCTGACTGCAGTGACTAGACTGTCATTTCTTTCCCCTGTGCAGAGAGGCAGCTTCTTCAGCCTGTGCCATTGTCACATCCACAGCCACCGTAGAGGTGGAGACAGCCAGCCAGGCCTCGGAGCCAGCCAGCCAGGCCTCGGATGAAGACGACGTGCCAGTCACAGACATCTACTTTGTAAGAGACCTTCTCCACCTGGCCCTGGGGGGTGACGGGAAGGGTTGGACAAGGCTGTCAGTATTGTTCCAGGCAGTCGGGTGGGCAGTGGCTGCCCTGCACCATCTTGGTGTGAAGCACCTTGAGACCTTGGTGCTGGGTGGGTTTTTGAATGCAGGGAACTGGATTAAACTTGGAGAACTGAGAACAGCATCTAGTGGGGCTCACACAGGTGGCACTCCTGCTGTGGATGTGGATGTAGCTGTAGCTGTGCTGCTCTACTTCCAAGCACAAGTGTTCATCTAGGCCAGCACATTTGCTCTGGGACAAGCCAAGGTGATGTGGGTGCAGCAGAGAGGTTCTTCCTTCCTCAGCCAGAGATCTTGGCTGCTTTCCTGACACAAACATGGCCTAGACCCAAAGGGAGGTGGTTGCAGAGGGTGACCTTGGGCTCTGGTGAACTCCGGCTTTTCCTTTCCCTGCAGGCTGCATTAGGTGATGCAGTGGGAGTCTAGTGCTGAGCCAGGGAGTAAGTTGGTGGTTGGCAGCAGAGTGCCGTGGAGCCTGGCGCTGGTCCTCACTCAGCTCCCACAATGGCTGAGCAACTTCTGCAGACCAGAGAAGAGGTTTTTTAGCAACATGTACCTGTCCCATGGATTCCCAGAGCACAGCTGACTGCCTGTCCCATGAGAGCTGAGCTCTCTCGTGTCTGGGCACTGGAACCCTCATTAAAAGAGGTGCCCGGCTCCTCCCTGCTCTGACTTGTTGCTGTCGGTCCTGTGGTGCTGGAGACAACCTGAGCCCATGCAATGGGCTCCTTCAGGCTAAACTAAAATGCAGCATTGGCCTTTCCCTGGGCTCTTGTGACTCTGCTGCAGAGCTGCTCACTCATTGCCGAGTCACTCTGAGGCTTGTGGGAGCTGTGGAAGGAATCAGCCTTGTTTTACAGCTTGTTTGGGGTTGGATGCATGCTGTTCAAAATGCAAACGGCTCCTCTAACACTGCCCCCTCCTTGCCTGTGGATGGCAGCTGTGTGCAGGCAGATCCTGCCTGCTCCCCTGGCAAGTGTCTTCTAGTGAGGGTCAGCTGCTCTTCCTCCCTGTCCCTGGGCATATGGACTGCCCCCAGCTTGAGGGGCACCTGTATCCAAGAGAAAATTCTGCAGAGTGTGTTCACAGAGAGTGTGACTGACTGCTCATCAGCATTTCATACTTCATCTGAGTCTGAGTTTTGCATTAAATGTGTGTCGTGTGCTGTGGAGTGTTTATCACTGCTGGGATGAAGGGAAAAGCTGATTTGAGTTCCCATGGGTGCTCTCCTTGGAAAACCACTTGAGCAGGAGCTCAGGTGAGGCTGCACGCGTGCGCTCGCGCAGCACCACAGCTGCTCCTGCAGGAGTGCTCAGGGGCGGATGGGTGAAGGGATGGTGTGTGCAGAGGAGGATTTGGCCAGTCCCAGGAGACTGTGATCTGATGACTGAAGCCTGCTCCTGGAGAGCAGTTCACTCTCCTGTTTATCCCCAGGGAATAAAAGTGCGGAGTGTGGCAGGGCATGGGCGCCGCTCTTCCCTGCACGGCTTTCCCACCTGCTCACCCGTTCAGGCCTGGAGTTGCCCAACCCCTTGTTTTTTGCTTTCTCTTTCATCCTCTCTTTCACATCACCCTTTTTTTCCTCTGTTTCCTTTCTCACCTCACTTGTTCTGGGGCCACTCAGTTCACAGATGGGAGGTACTGGATTTACTCTCCCCGCCAGCACAGACTCCGAACTACCTCGCATTCCTCTGGGATTGTAAGTGACCATGCCAGCACAGCATGTAGGGGAGCAGAGCTGCAGCTTTGAAACACTGGGGCCAGCATCCCATTTCTCTCAACAGCTGGGGCTCTGGATTGAGTTAGGAACCAGCCCAGCAGATATGGGGGAAGCATATTGAAATTACACCAGTGGATCTCCTTGTAGGATCTGAGAGTATCATGAGCTCTGTCCCTTTTCTCCAGGCTGGTGACACAGCTCCTACCCTGGCATGGGCCGTAGTGTCACCCAGCCCTTGGGAAAACTGAGAGCAGTGAGGCCCTAGCACAGGTTGCCCAGAGAACGTGTGGTTGCCCTTTCTCTGGAAGTGTCCAAGGTCAGACTGGATGGGCTTGAAACAGCCTGGGACAGTGGAAGGTGTCCCTGCCTGTGGCAAGGGGGGTTACTGGGTGATCTTCCAACCCAAACTGTTCTGTGATTCTTAGTACCGGATCTGACCAGAGAGGCACTGGGGCCTCTGTAGGTGATGTCAGGCTGAGCTCCCTCAGCCCAGGAAGAGGGTTTTAAAGACACCATTAAGATGTTTTGAAAGTTCTAAAACTCCAGTAGCAAACAGAAATATGGGGAGCAACTCATAAACCAAATGAGGCAGGAGCTGGTGCTGAGTTAGGGCTGGTTTCAGCTTTCCAGCCCTTCTCAGCTTCAGCAGTGTGCTCCCTTTTCACTGAAGGTGTTCTGTGAGCAGGGAGGATTTTCCTTTCCAAAAGATGCAGGGAGGTATTGGAGCTTTTAGGGGCTGAATCTAGAGCTGAGATTGTTCTGGAGTTTAGCATTTAGCTTCTCATGCTTTGGGAGAGCTGCTGTCCCCAGGGGGTGGTGGCAGCGCTGCCCGAGCCTCGCTGGTGCAGCCTGGCGCTCCCATTTGGGTTACAGGCAGGGTGCATGGGGAAGCAGGGGCAGGAATGTGCCCCTGGCTGTTGCTGATGGCATGAAGAAGGTGCTGCTGGGCAAACAGGCAACTCCTCCTGCAGCCCCTCCTGCCCCTCAGCTGGGTTTGGCTGCTCTGGCACCGGGAGGGGTAGTGCCAAGCACTGGGTGCTCCTTTATCTCCTGCAGCTCCCCGCATGCAGCCAAGCTCCTAAAAGGCTCTGAAAGAGACTGGCTGGAGCATGTGGTTCAGTCAGGATGGATGAACCATCATGGATGAAAAAGAGGATGTGGGACAAGCTTGATGTGGTGGGGAGGTTTCCTGTACCTCTGACAGAGCCCTGTGAGAAGCTCCAGTCAGGGGCTTCTCAGCCTTCCTTCCTCCCAGCGGTCTCTACTAATGGAGCTGCAGTTAATGGGGGTTCAGCATGTGGAGCCCAGTGCTTCAAAGCTTCTCTGGCTTCTTGTAGTTCCTTGTACATTGTAGACTGTCACGCTCAGTTCCTGGGCTGGGAACACTGCAGGCTTCTTCCAAACACCCAGTTCTGCTTCTCTTCCTTTGTGAATGCCAGGCTGGGTCAAAGGGGGCAGTTTCTTCTCTGTGGGAGCTCCTCTGGAGACAAAAGAGCCTGTTTGTAGTGTAAATGGGGCCCCCCTGGGAACTGGCAGCAGAGACCAGCCCTAGAATCTGTGCTGTGTAGGCAGCAGAGTGTGCCTTCTCACAGCAATGCCCAGTGCTATGATAACTGTCCCTCAAGGCACACCTCCTTCCCCTCATTCTTTCCAAGGTCTAGTTGTGTTTTGCCTCCTGTGTTGTACTTGTTCCCATCACCTCACTGTCCCCAGGATCTCAGCTATAACTGTTTCCTTTCTGTGGCCACCATCCTCCATGGTCTCACCCCAGCTTCACTGCCTTCTGCAAAGAGGGAGGAAGGCACAACAAACAAATCCAGCTGACCTGTAAAAGCCCTCCTGGATATCAGTTTGTAGCATGCACAGAGCTCTGGAAATGGGAGGGTGAGAGCTGGTAGCAGGTAGCAGGAGCCCAGAGCTGTCACTGCTCTTAGGTAAGTCACTTCCCAAATCTCTGGGTTTCTCTGGAGCTGGGATGATGCCATGGCTGGGAGCTGAGGTTTCCCTGACATCTCAAAAGCTCTAAAACTCTGTCCCTATGAGAGGAGAGGGTGTGCCACCCCCACTGCAGCTGGCACAGGTCCTGTGTCCCGGTTGGCAGGGAGCCAGTGTGTGCTGAGGATGAGGAGGGCTCCTCTGCTGAGAGCTGGCTCTGGGCTCAGTGCTCTCCCTCCAGGTGGACAGCTGTTCTTACTGTATTGTTTCCTGCTCTTTTTATTTTCTCCTTTTATTTTTTCCTCTTCTCTCCTTTGCTCCCTGCTCTGCTGCTGCTCTCCCTGCATTCTCCCTGCCGTCTCTGGCCACTCTGGCAGCCGACAGACGAGAGGAGTTGGGTTTACTCCCCGCTCCACTATAGCACTCAGCTGCACTCTGTCTCCGATGAGGAGAGCGATACAGTAAGTGTCCAAGAGCCGTGTGCCGGGTGCCCGCTGCGTCGAGCTCGAGTTTGTGCTCCCTCTGCAAGGTCAGCTTGGCCTCTGGCAGCGTGGGGCTCCTGCTCAGCAAGGGCTGTGCCTTATTCCCAGTTTGTTTGGTGCAGGAAAAACTTTGGGGAGCTCAGGTTTCCCAGACATGTTGCCATTTCTGGAAGATGTAGAACAGCCTCTGGTTGTGCTGGGAAGTTGGCGGGACAGAGACCTGGCTGATGTGGGCTCTGGTGCTCAGGGGTTGATCCTCTTTCCTCTCACAACCAGAAAGATGTTGAGGGGCTGGGGCATGTCCAGAGAAGTGAGTGGACATGGGGAAGGGGCTGAAACACAAGTGTGATGAGGAGCAGCTGGGGGGGCTCAGCCTGGAGAAAAGGAGGCTCAGGGGGGACCTTGCTCTCCACAACTCCCTGAGAGAAGGGGGCAGCCAGGTGGGGGTCAGGTTCTGCTCCCAGGAAACAAGGAACAGGAGAAGAGGAAACAGCCTCAAACTGTGCTAGGGGAGGTTTAGGTTGGATATTTGGTAAAATGCCTTGACTGAAAGGGGATTGTCAGGTATTGGAACACGCTGCCCAGGGCAGTGGTGGCATCACTGTCCCTGGAAGTGTTCAAATGACATGTGGCTGTGGCGCCAGGGGACATGGGTTAGTGGTGAGCATGGTGGTGGTGCTGGGCTGATGGATGAATTTGGTATTCTTGGAGATCTTTTCCCACCTTAACGATTTCATGATTCTGTGACTCTCTTCTCTCTGCCTCTTGCAGTAATCTCTATGCAGACACAGAAGTCCCAGAGAGCAGCGATTCCCTCTGCAGGTCGATGTGTTCCCTTTTCGTTGATGCAGCCATTCCAGTGGATGGGGAAGAGCTTGCTGACACCAGTATTGCTGCACTGCAGGATCCCGGGCACTGCGTTTCAGAACGGAGCAAAACTATAACCATGTATTTCTACTCACCCCAGACGTGGGCAGCAAAGAAACCACCCGCTCACCCGCAGCTCCCAGCAGAGAATTCTAGCTGGGTGTAGAGAATCCTGGGTAGTAACACAGTGTTTTCCAGATGTGCACTACCATAGCTACCTATCCATGTGTGATACTGTGAACCTTTTTAATTTTTTAATCATGTATTTATTTCTTTTATCTTTGCACAGAGACAGCACACGTGCTTTTTTAAACATTTAGTTTACTGCACTTTTTTTTTTTTTTTTCTTCTTTTTTTTTTTTTTCTTTTTTGGTCATATATTTGTGCATCAAAAAGGAGCATGAGATTTCACCGAAGAATGGGTAGGAGCACGTTGCTGGGGAGGGCAGGGAGTGGAGTGGCTTCATGTGAGGCAGCAGTGTGGTCTCACCAGCTGAGGGAGTCAGGAGGTTTAAGGCTGTCCAGACACTGCCACGGTTTTTCCAAGTGGCCCAAGGCAAATCACTAAACCACTCTGTGCCTCGGTTTCCCCCGTGCTAATGGGTGCACAGTACCTGCTTCCGTTACAGCACTTAAACCCTGGGATGAAAGGTGCTATGAAAATGAAATGTATTAAAGGCCATGGAATAGAATTGCTCCCATGTTACCATAGTCCAAAGCAGCCATGCCAATTCACTTGGATCCAAACTCTCTAGTGACTTCTCCTGTCTGTGACACCGTGCGGGACAGCACACAGTTCCTGGTGACAGTGACGTGGACTCCTCAGCTCTCCCGAAGTCGTGATGGGTTCCACCTTCACCCTGTGCTGCACTGCTGCGCCACCCCTCCCTCTGTGCTTGGAGTCCACACCTCGTCCAAGTGGCCACCGCCTGCTGCAGCCCCGCAGGCACGGACAGATGGGAACTGGGCACCTCCCGAGCCTGGCCACGCTGGAGGGCAACTTCCCCACTGTGCCCAGCCCATGTGGGGCTTGTCCAGATCCTGCATCCTCCTGGAGCCACTCAGCCCCTCACGTGCTCGTGGGTGTACCCTGGGGTCACGGACACTGGGCTCACACGTCCCCTGTGCCCCTCAGGACAGGCAGAGACACAAGGGCACGTCCAGTCACTGGAGGCAGGAATGGGAGCCTGGCTCTGCCACGGAATCGTGCCAGCACTGCTGTGCTCCTGGACTCTTGGACAGAAAGCTGCGTGGGTGGGGTCACGTCTGCTGGTGGAAATCCCTGCTGCGGGGGTCTGAGGGGGTTTGCTTTGCAAGGGCTGTGGGCTGTAGGTGAGAGAATTGATGTCAGGGGTAGCGTTCAGCCTCATCCATCAGCAGGACACATATCATAGCATAGTCTGGAATCCAGCAATGCTGTCCTTATCTCCCAGACAGAAAACAGAAAGTCCTTTAGACCAGAGGGAGACAGGTCTTGTTTGTGTGCTTTATGAACCTCGCTTGAGAAAGAGTCTCTTTATTCCCTTTACAATCTTCACTGTCCTTGGGATTCCAGGTAGAGGGGTGGGGAAGCAGGACCCTGCTCTCAGGCCTCAGTCCCCACAATCTCTTCACAGCAGCACTCAGGAGTGGTTATGTTGGGTCCCAGAAGGTAGCTGGGCTGATGGGAAGCTCTTCCTTCTGTACTGTACTGAACTTAGTGAGAATCTTCAGGAATTGATGTTTTTTTCTTGCCCAGAATACAGGACCTGGACTTCCCTTCCCTGCCTGTAGATGCAGAAGGCTCTGAGTTGTGCTTCTTGGGAGCACAGTCTGGGGATGGTGCAAGTTGCTGCTGTTCATGTATCCATGTATTTACCAAATAGTCTATCAAAAGTCTCTCAAGAAACTCTCCCCTTTCTGTCGCTGCGTGGCAGCTCATGTCCCATGCCACCTTCCTGTGCCACCCGGGGGGCTCTGCAGCTGGGGGGGCTCAGGGGTTGGTGGAGGGGAGTGGGAGCCATGCAGTACCTACAGCCTCACCTGCCTTTGGCCTCAAGGCAAGGAGCTTCAAAAAGCTAAAAATTCAACCTCTTTTCCCCCAGCAGTGTGTGTAGAACGGCCAGAGAAAGGCACATCCCTGCTGCAGCTGCTGCTGTTGGGTGCTGTGCTGGAGGAGGGGGCTCTGGGGGAACCAGGGTGGCTGGAGCTGTTCTGAGCCAGGCCCCTGCCCTGGGACCACAGTCAGGAGCTGGAGGGTTTGGCCTCATCAGGACTTTCCAGCCACCTGAAATCAAGCATCCTTTATGAGATGGTTCAAGCATCAGTGGAGATTTTATTCCTTCCCCTCGTTTCTAGGGGTCTCTAAAGCTGCTTGGTGTGTGTGCAGGGAGTGTCCCAGAGAATGAGCTCTGTGAGCTGGAGCTGTGCTTGGGGCCTGAGGGGGTAAACCCAGAGCTCCTGCAGCATGTTCATTCAATTCAAAGAACTGTCTACCCTTTTTGAGGTGATCCTTGTGCAGTTCTGTAATGCTGGACCCTTTGGAGCGGGTCTGGATGGGCTGGTCCTGTAAGAGGACAGGCAAAGGCTTAGAACAGCTCTGTCAAGGGACAAGGAGAAACCTTCCTGCAGGCAGATGTTGATCTGAAATAGAAACTGAAATAGAAACAAAAAATTGTGCCCTGTTCAGGCTGGCACAATCCCTGCCGTGTCACCTCCTGTCCCAGCAGCTCCCAGTGCTGGGGAACTGCTTCCCATGGAGGCTGAAAGGACCTTGGATTTCAGAGCTCATTCTTGGCCCCCTCTGCATGGCACCACAAGGGAGCAGCAGAAGCTCTGGAGCACGTCCCAGGCAGTGCCAGTGCTGCCTGGGCAGGAGCAGCACTTGCCCATGGAAAAGAGCATCCCTGGCCTGAGTGTTCCTCCGTCTGCACTTCAGCTCGTTCTGCACTTAGCTGCTGTTCTCTGCTGGGCTCCCTTAGTGACCCCGCAGGTGCTGCCCAGGCTCTCCAGCACTGAAGGAGGCACCACGAGTCTTGTACTCTGAGATTTGACCCTGGGAGCATCCCTGGCCTGAGTGTTCCTCCCTCTGCACTTCAGCTCGTTCTGCACTTGAGCTGCTGTTCTCTGCTGGGCTCCCCTAGTGACCCCGCAGGTGCTGCCCAGGCTCTCCAGCACTGAAGGAGGCACCACGAGTCTTGTACTCTGAGATTTGACCCTGCAGGGCAGCCCCTTCCCACACAGGTCTGGGCACTGCTGTGCTTCATCCCCACGGCCCCAGCTGGGTCTCAGACTCTGCGGGACAGCAGTGACCACTGCCTGCTGCTGGGGCTGCAGGGGAGCTCTCCCTGCCAGGTGAGGGCTGCCAGGAGAAAATGGGCACCTCTGTCCTTGACTTTGCAGCCAGGCTCCTGCAAAGGCTCCGGGGCACACCCGGGGGCTCGTAGGGACCCTCAACACGCGCAGAGGGGATGCAGCTTTTGGTTGCCGCTGCCTCTCCGGCCTCGTGTGCTGGAATTGCGCCTTGGGGAGTGTTTCAGTGAAGCCAGAGCACGCACAGGCCTTGGTGCAAGGCAGGCAGAGGCGTTCGCAGGGCTCCATCGCCCCCCGCATTCCCCTTCTCATTGCCGGCCAGCGCTCCCCGAGAGGACAGGGAGAACGCGGGGCCGAGGCGGCGGCTCGGGCCAAGGCCGAGGGCTTTTCTGTCCGTGTCCACCCGCGCCAGGTCTGTCCTGGTGCCTGCCCTGTCCCGGTCTGTCCTGGTGCCTGTCCCCACGCGTGCCCCGTGGGCCGTGCCCGCCGGAGGGGGCGCGGCCGGGCGGGCTCCGATGCTGGGCCCGTCTCGGCTCCGGGGGCTCGAGGCCTGGGCGCGGTTGTTCCGAGAGTTTCCCCCTCCTTCTCCGCGGAGCCCCTTTTCCAGAGCTCTGTCCCCACTCGCACAAAGCGCTCCGCAGCCCGTGCTGAGCCCCGCGCTCCGCCCGCTCTGCGGCCATGGGGCCGGGGCTGCCCGCCGCCCGCCTGTCTGCGCTGCGGCCCTGCTGGGGCGGGGCGGGCGCAGGCGGACGGCGGGGCAGCCTGGTGAGCTGAGGCCCCACGAGGCCCCGGGGTGGAGCCGTCGCTGCCGATGGGCTCCGGGTCGCGCAGCCCGGCCCGGGGCGGCCGCGCGGAGCGGGACCGGGACCGGGAACGGGACCGGGAACGGGAACGGGACAGGGACAGGGAACGGGACCGGGACAGGGACAGGGACAGGGAACGGGACAAGGAATGGGACCGGAATCGGGACAAGGACCGGGACCGGGACAAGGAATGGGACCGGAATCGGGACAGGGACCGGGACCGGGACCGGGGGCGCTCGCGGTCCGGGAGCCACGGGCGGCGACACCGCAGCCGGAGCAAGAGCCGGAGCCGCAGTCGGAGTCGGGGCCGACGCCGGGAGCCGTCCCGTGGGTGAGTGCGCGCGCGGCTGTGGGGAAGCGGGCCCGGGGCTGTCAGCACCGGCGGGGACGGGACCGGGAGCTCGGTCCCGCCACTCTCGGGGAGGGCCGGGGGCGGGCGGGCGGTGCCGAGCGCTGCTCGTGACGCCGGCCTGGGGCGGTACCGGGGGCAGGTACCGGGGGCAGGTACCGGGGCAGGTACCGGGGGCGGGGGCTGCACGTACCCCTCGCTGTCTCGGTGCTGGGCCGGCCTCAGCTGCGGCGGGAGAGCCCCGTGCCCGGCACGGCCGTGCCCTCCTCCCGCTGAAGCCCGGCTGTGTCCCCCCAGCTCGGACTCCGGTGATGAGAGGCAGAAATGGAAAAAGAAGAAAAGAAGCCGCAGCCGGGACCGGCACCGTAAGGAGCGGCGGAAACAGCGCTCACGGTCCCGGGGCTGCTCCTCCGGCTCCAGCCCGGAGCGCGGGCGGGACCGGGCAGCGCGGAGCCGGGAGCGGCGCCGCAGGAGGGACGGATCCAAGTCCTCCGTGTCCTCCGTCAGCTCCCCGTCCCCGCCGCGGCCCCGCGGCCGGGAGGAGCCGGGGCAGCAGCTGAGCCTGCAGGAGCGGCTGAGGCTGAGGGAGGAGAAGAAGAAACAGGCGGCTCTGATGAAGGCCCTGGAGACGCCCGAGGAGAAGCGGGCACGGAGGCTGGCCAAGAAGGAGGCCAAGGAGAGGAAGAAGCGGGAGAAGATGGGCTGGGGTGAGGAGTACATGGGCTACACCAACACCGACAATCCCTTTGGGGACAACAACCTCCTGGGCACATTCATCTGGAGCAAGGTGAGCTCTGCCCTGGCTCTGCAGCCAAATGGAACAGGCAGGGGCAGCTGTGCCTCACGTGGGGTCTGCATCCAGGGCAGGGAGATAAGAAGATGGGTCGAGGGCAGGAGAGGGTCTTGGAGCTGCTGGGAGCTGTAGGCTGAGTGCTGGGCAGCATTTACTGAGTCAGGGACATGGACATGGTAGCATGAATGCTGCATTTCTGCCATAGGAATGACAGAGAGCTGGGGGTGTTCAGGTTAGGGAGAAGAGAAGGCTCTCTGGAGAAGAGGAGGCTCTGGGGCGACCTTAGACCTCTTTCCAGTGGCTACAAAGGCTCCAGGAGAGCTGGAGAGGAACTTGACAAGGACCTGGAGGGACAGGATAAAGGGGAATGGCTTCCCACTGCCAGAGGGATATTGGGCAGGAATTGTTCCCTGGCAGGGTGGGCAGGCCCTGGCTTGGGGTGCCCAGAGCAGCTGTGGCTGCCCCTGGATCCCTGGCAGTGCCCAAGGCCAGGCTGGGCAGGGCTGGGAGCAGCCTGGGACAGTGGGAGGTGTCCCTGCTATGGCTGGGAGTGGAATGAGATGATCTTTAATCCCTTCCCTCATGGTTCCATGACACTGTTGTGCTGGCACTCACCTCACCAGGCCGGCTGGGCTATGTGGGCTGAGCCTGGGTTTGCTGAGGGGCTTCGGGAGCAGTGTTTGAGTGATTTAGGGACTTTCAACAGGATCAGACCTCTCTGGAGCAGCAGAAACAGGTGAAGGGAATAGCATTTGCTGGCCATCGAGGGGCTGCAGAGGTCCTTGGGTTCCACAGCTTCCCTTGGCCATTCTGTTTAAGGCACTGGAAAAGAAAGGGATCAGCCATCTGGACGAGAAGGACCTGAAGGAGAGGAACAAGCGAATCCAGGAGGACAATCGCCTGGAGCTGCAGAAGGTGGGATAAGGTGTCCTTTCCATGTCACTGTCTGACAGAGAGCCCTGTTTACAGCCTGGTTCTCACTGGGAAGTCCCCATTTTCTTCTCCTGGCTGTGTCCAGTCTGTAGGATTGTGGAGGCTGTAAAACCTGGCTTCTGCTATTCCAGAATGAGAAACCTCTTCCCTTAGGTTTGAGCCCAGGAGCTCAGGAGGTGCTGAGGAGGACAGTGCCAGGTCACAACACTGAGGCACTCAGTTGTGCCTGTGCCCCCTGTCTCCCACAGGGCTGGCAGTGAGCCCAGGCAGCCTGGCCCCACTGGCTCCCCACTCTCCAGGAGCTTGGGCTGATGGCAGGAGCCAGGGCAGCTCAGGCACAGGTCATGTCATGGCTGTGTGCTCAAGCAGGGGTCTGTGCTGTCTGCGCAGGGGCCCATCCACAGTGCTCTCACAGCTTTGTCACCCTGGGCAGGTGAAGCAGCTGCGCCTGGAGCGGGAACGGGAAAAAGCCATGAGGGAGCAGGAGCTGGAGATGCTGCAGCGGGAGAAGGAGGCAGAGCACTTCAAAACCTGGGAAGAGCAGGAGGACAACTTCCACTTGCAGCAGGCTAAGCTGCGGTAGGTGTGCACCTGCTCAGAGCCAGGCCTGGCGTGGGGCAGAGGATGGCACTGCTCAGTGTTCCCTACTGTCCCTCTGTTCTTCCCAGGTCTAAGATCCGGATTCGGGATGGGAGGGCGAAGCCCATCGATCTTCTGGCCAAGTACATCAGTGCAGAGGATGATGACCTGGCTGTGGAGATGCACGAGCCCTACACCTTCCTCAATGGTTTAACTGTCTCCGACATGGAGGACCTGGTGGAGGACATTCAGGTGCCTGCTCTGCTGGCCCTCTGCCTGGGCTCAGGGCTTCTCTACCAGCTCTGCTTTCCTGCCCCTGGTGTGGAGCAGGTGCCTGATGTGTCTTCTGCCTGCAGGTGTACATGGAGCTGGAGCAAGGAAAGAACGTGGACTTCTGGAGGGACATGACCATCATCACAGAGGATGAGATAGCCAAGCTGCGCAAGCTGGAGGCCTCTGGGAAAGGAGGACCAGGTGAGCAGGAGAGCAGAGTCTGGTGTGAGCGGTGGGTCACCATGTGTGCTCAGGCTCGGAGGGGCTCTCTCGGACCTGCTGGATGCAGGCTGTGGGTCTGGCAGCTGTCCCTGCCTGAGGCCTGGCCTCCTGCTGTCAGCAGAACCGGGATGAGTGCAGCTGGGTGCCTGGAGACTGACCAGCTGCCCTCGCCTGTCCAGGGGAGCGTCGGGATGGCGTCAACGCCTCGGTCAGCTCGGATGTGCAGTCTGTGTTCAAGGGGAAGACGTACAACCAGCTGCAAGCTCTCTACCAGGGCATCGAGAGCAAGATCCGGGCGGGAGGGCCCAACCTGGACATTGGGTACTGGGAGAGCCTTCTGCAGCAGCTGAAGGCTTACATGGCTCGGGCCAGGTGAGAGCAGAGTGGCAGCAGTGCAGACCCTGCCGTGGGCAGAGCTGGGGAGACTAAACCCAGTTGGAGGATGGAATGGGGGAGGGTGTTCTGCCTTTTCTGAGATGGCTGATTTCCAAGAGGGGAGCAGAGTGAGACACGCAGTCCCTTCTGCAGTGGTGATGTTTAGTGAGGTCTCTTAAGAGGGAACTGATCTGGGGCTTATTCAGCCCAAAGCCTTCCAAGCCCGGCAGGTTTCTGCCCATGGAGGTGGATGTCAAAGCTTTTGGGCAGTGGGAGTGAGGTGGTTCTGCTGGGTGGGACCCGACGGCTCCTCTCCTCTCTCAGGTTGCGGGAGCGGCACCAGGATGTGCTGCGTCAGAAGCTGTACAAGCTGAAGCAGGAGCAGGGTGTGGAGAGTGAACCGCTCTTCCCCATCATCAAGCGGGAGCCGGCTTCCCCCAGTGACAGGTGAGCAAACACCTGGCCCTGTCCCCAGGCACAGAGGCAGTCGTGTGCCCCCACCCTTTCCGAGGCAGAGCTCAGGTGAGCAGCCAGCGAGGGTACCATCCCCGTCCCAGTCCTCTCTTCTCCCTTCCATGCAGGCTGGATCCCGAGGAGAGCCTTGAGGCACAGCCAGGGCCATCCTCAGAGCCAGAGGCAGAGCAGGACACAGAGGCCAAGGGAGAGGCAGAGGGGGAGGCCGTGCTGATGGAGGAGGATCTGATCCAGCAGAGCCTGGATGACTACGATGCGGGCAAGTACAGCCCCCGGCTGCTGGGCCCCAATGAGCTGCCCTTCGACGCCCACGTGCTGGAGGCCGAGGAGGACACGCACCGGCTGCTGCTCCTGCGCCAGCAGCTCCAGGTGACAGGTGAGCCCCAGGGCAGCCTGCCCAGCATGGGGAGGGGACAGTGCCCTCAGGAAAGGGAAGAGCTGGATCTGGCTCAGGCACGCAGAGCTGACCTGGCAGAGGGGTGCCCCTGGAGCAAAGGGCACTGTGGCCTGGGCAGGAGCAGGGAGATGGTGCTCAGGCTGCTGGTGCTCCCTGGGAGACCTGCCTCAGTACCACCAAGGTGTTTGGGTGCAGACAGGCGGGGAGGGTGTTTGGTTGAGTTTTCGGGCACAGCTCAGCCCAGTGCCCACTCAGAGCCCACAGGGCAGTCTGTGCATTCCCATATCCAGTTCTGCATCCTCTGCACAGCAGCTCCTTCTCTCTGCATGCCTTGGGGCAGTGTTGCGTGGCCCAGGCCTGGCTGGCACTGCAGAACCTGATGTCACCTCTCCTCCCCTATAGGTGACGCCTCCGAGAGCACCGACGACATCTTCTTCCGTAAGGCCAAGGAGGGCATGGGCGCGGACGAGGCGCAGTTCAGCGTGGAGATGCCGCTCACGGGCAAGGCCTATCTGTGGGCTGACAAGTACCGGCCCCGCAAGCCGCGCTTCTTCAACCGCGTGCACACGGGCTTCGAGTGGAACAAGTACAACCAGACCCACTACGACTTCGACAACCCCCCGCCCAAGATCGTGCAGGGCTACAAGTTCAACATCTTCTACCCCGACCTCATTGACAAGCGCTCGACGCCCGAGTACTTCCTGGAGGCCTGCCAGGACAACAAGGACTTTGCCATCCTGCGCTTCCATGCCGGACCACCCTACGAGGACATTGCCTTCAAGATCGTCAACAGGGAGTGGGAGTATTCCCACCGCCACGGCTTCCGCTGCCAGTTTGCCAATGGCATCTTCCAGCTCTGGTTCCACTTCAAGCGGTACCGGTACCGCCGGTGAGGGCTCAGCGCCCTCGGACTTCTGTCAGGGGCTCCCATGCCACGGCACAGACACTGTTCTATGCATGGCCCCAAGGCCTGGCCCAGCACTGGGCATGTTCCTGAGGCTTTTCTCTGTCCTTGCATTTATCATGAAGGACCCTGAGACTTTGGTATAAATAAAATAAGGGTTGTTTTAGGCACGAGATCCTGGGCATGGGCACCCCCACTGCTCCTGTGTGACATCACCATCCATTACCATCCACACTGGCCGGCGCTGGGAACTCCCCTGGGGATTGCATAGTGCTTGGGCTGGGTGTCCTTACCCCATCCCCACAGAGTCAGCCCCATGTATTCCTTGCCCCACTCCAGCCTCCTCCCACTCCCAACATCTCCCCTTACCAGTGTCAGACCAGTCCAGCTGCTGCTCCCCAGCTGGAGTCACAAGGCCTTTGACTGCACCAGCTCAGCACTGCCTTCATAGAGGGGCCCCTCACCCTCCCCCAGGCCCCATTCCTGGCACGTCCTCCCATGGGATCTGGCTTCCCCAGCCTGGGAGCACTGCCATATCCCTCAATCCTGGCTGGGGCATGGGAGGCTTTAGTGCTGCAAGGCGCCTGCTCTGGTGGAGCAGAGAGGGATGCTGGTTGAGATATTTCCTTACAGGGGAAAATCCGGATTCCAGAGCCTGCAGTCCCTCCCACACCATGCCTCTGAGGCTCTCCCTGCCCTGGGCAAGAAGCAGTTGCTCTCCCCAGTATCCTGTTGATGAAGTGAGGGTTCCTGAGGGCCTCTAGTGCTGTTCAGATGGGTTTTGGGCACCTTAGGGGCACTTGAGCGTTGAGCTGGGACTGGCTGGTGTTGGTCCCACCACATGATGACCAAGGGCGCAGCCACTCTCCTCTGGGATCACCCACCATGGCTCCATCCCCCCCAAGCCCCAGGCTATGCCTGTTCAGGCAGGATGAGGGGTTGATTAGTGCCCAGGGGTGCAGGAAACCTCTGCCCTGGCTTCACCAAGAGACCATTTCCTACCTGCATCCACTCTCTCCCCAGTAGAGGCCCATGGTGCAGGGACTTAGGGGTCTGCCCAGCACTAAAACAGAGGCAAGCCTGCTGTGCAGGGGCCTCCAAGCCCTTGGGGGCTGCCCCACGGCTCAGGGAAGTTGTCTTGTCCTGCTCCTGACTCTGCTGGCAGGATCCAGCTGCAGAGCCACCATGGGAGCTGGTGCTCAGGAGGCTCCCATTCCTGTGGGGCTTGGTCTGCCTGCACATGGGGGTGGGGGACCCCAACTGCCGTGGTCCTCCATGTGGGTACCCCCTCCCCATCCCTCCGGACATCCCCGGGGCCAGCAGCTGCACCGGACACATTCCCTGGCCTCTCCTTCCTGGCAGTTATTTCCTGCTGCTGCCTGTGCTGGAGGTTTCGGGGCTCAGCGCAGGAAGTGAGTGAAGGCTGGGTCAGGGAGGAGGAAACGGGGAAAAAACCCAAACCCCAAAGCTGGTGGTTGGTGCCCTCCCTGATCAGCTGCCAGGCAGAGCCTCCATCCCCACAGCCCGTCCCTTTCCCTCCTGGGCACACAGAGAGGTGGGGGAGCTCCCCCAAAAACGTCCCACTGTATCTCCAGCCGGAGCAGGGCCCATGTCCTCTTCCAGGCAGCGCGTTTCCCTGCACGTCTGACTGCAGGGCTGAGCCCCGAGAGCTCCTCCAGGCTTGTGCCAGGGCCAGATCAGGGTCTGGATCCGGCTGAAGCCCCTGACGGCTTTCCCTGACCTGGCTGCTCTCAGTGCTCCTCCTAGTGCCCATCTCCCCGACGTTTCGGGCCAAGCTGGCACGGCGCAGCCCTGAGCTGTGCAGGGGACAGCGGCTGGGCCGGGTCGTGCCCGGGCGGGGCAGTCGGTGGAGCTGCCCCGTGCCCCATCATCCGTGATGGGCTCAGCTGCTCCCGGGCACACCCCGGCCCCACCCGGGACAGCAGCGGCTGCCGAGCCCCGCGCATTCCGCTGCCGGTGGGGCCCGTGCTGCTCCCGGCGCTCGGGGCTCCGCGGGCTGGCCCTGCCTTCCCCCGCGGCTTTCGCTGCCGCAGTCTTTGCTCCAGCCCAAGGGATAGCGCGATGGTGGGCTCTGCAGCCCCTCGCTGCCAAGCCGGTGCCAGGAAAACCTGCCTGGGCATCCACCCGAGCGCCGAGCCGCTGTGCCCCCTGCTCGCCTTGACGGGACGGCCCCGCGGGCCCCGCGGGCTCAGGCGCGCCCGGAGCCGGGGTCTGCCCTCCTCGGCGGAGCGCGAGCAGCCGGACGGAGGCTATGGCTCCTGAGACCATGGGAGGAACACTGCCCGGGGACGTGTCACCCCAGCTGATCTCGCCTTTGGACAGCGCAGCGACATCCCGAGCTCGGAGCCCCGGGCTGGGAAACCCCCGGGAGGCGAATCCCCCGGGCGGGACGGCCGGGGCTGCGGGAGCACCCAGGGACCCACCCCAGCCCTCGGCCAGAGCCGCAGCTGCCGCTCCCTCTCCCCTCTCCGGTCCCGGGGTCGCTGCGGGGCTCGGCGGGGACGCCCGCGCTGCTGGACCCGCCTCAAGCCTGCCCGGGTTATTGTCAGGGAGTTTTACTCGAGTAAACGAGCGAGTAACGGGGCGGGAGCGCAGCCCCGAACGGCCGGGGGGGCTTTGGGCTCCGGCACCGCGGGGGCTGCACCGAGAGACGCTCTCGGATCCCCGGGGAGCTGCCCGGACCGGGGGCGGTGGGGCCGGGGGCCGCCCCCGCCTGAAGGCCCGTCCCGAGCCGGGAGGGAGCGAAGCGGGACGGGGCCGGTTCCGGGGGGCGCGGCGAGCCCGGCCCTTCCCCCGCCCCGCGGCGGAGCCGAGCCGAGCCGGGCTGAGCAGAGCCGAGCCGGGCTGAGCCGAGCGGGCTGAGCCGAGCCGAGCCGAGCGGAGCCGGGTAGCGAGGTAGGGCTCGGGTCTGCGCGGGGAGGGAGGCGTAGAGAGGGGCGAGAGATAGGGGGCCAAGGGACAAAGAGCGCGGAAGGCTGGGACGGACGGAGACGGGATGGGCGGACAGACCGCCGGGCTGGCTGTGCGGGGCTCCCGGGGCTGTGCAGGGCGGCCGGGTCTCCAGCTGCTCCCGGGGCTCTCGGGGCGCTCCCGGCCGGCTCAGCCGCCGGGCTCGCACGCAGCCCCGAGGACCGGGGGCGTTTCGAGGGAGGGGAAGCGGAGACCCCATGGTGGGGGACGGACACATGGTGTCCCCGCTCCCCCCACTGTCTGTCTGTCCCCGGGACCGAGGGTCCGTGACAGGCGTATCTTCGGCCTCCCGTCGGAAGCAGGATTTGCTTTCGGGGCTCCCCGCCGGGACCGGTCCCAGCCTGTGCCGCTGGCTCCTCTGGGAAGAGCCGGAGAAGGACGAGGAAAGGCTCGGGAGAGGGCCGGGAAAGGAAGGGTCTATTTCGAGCTGTCGGAGTGGGCGGCCCAGCAGCCTTGAAGCCCTCGAGATGCCGCGACGCTACGGGCGGAGGCAGCCAGGGCGGGGGGCCCTGGTGCCCCAGGGCTGCCGAGCCCCAGCTTCTGCACTCCAGGACACCAGGCTGCTCCTCCAGCCACCACCTGCCCGGCCCCGGGTCATGGAGATTGGAATGGGGATGGTGCCAGCTGTTTCCCAGTCAGGCAGGGGACCTCTGCCCTGGGCCACAGCAGGAACAGGGAAAACCCCGGCGAGGACAGTTACCATGCCTGGCAGGACCCATCCCGTGTGTCACTGCTTCCCAGAAGTGTCCTCTGTCCTGGGTGTCCTTGGGATGTCTCTGCTCTAGGCCAGGCCAACTTCTTCAGGAGCAGGTCCTTGTGATGGTTGTGGGTCCAGGGAGGAACTGATGCTCTGCCAAGTCTCATCCCCATGGCCTATCCTGTCCTGGCTGATGACCTGGACCTGATTTGATACCCCCGAGCCCCAGGCTGGAGGCAGGTGGCAGTGGGACCACACCCATCCCTGAGAGGTGACACTGTCCTGTGGGACACCTGCACCAGGGGCATCAGGCTGTGGAACAGAAGGGACCATGCAGGAAGGTCATTGTCCTGGAGAGCTCCAGTGAGTGGAGAGGGATAAACACAAACACAAGGGGTGAATGCAAACGCCCTGCAGCCTCCTCTGCACGGCTGCCCTGTGGCTGAGCACCACACCCAGGGGCAGACCCCACTCGAGGGTACCATGGGGTGTGGGGGGAGTCACTGCTGTCTGGTTTGGGGGTCCCTTTGCAGGTGTGTGGTGCCTCTCCCAGGCCCCACCCCGGCCTGATGTTGCCAGCCCTGTCCAGGCCCCATGCCCAGTCCTGCCTGGGGCAGCCTGGGGAAGCAGCAGGCTGGGGCAGAAGCTGATAAGGAGCAGCCTCCAGCACTCCCCATCTGCCTTTCCCTCCCTGCCCTCGGATGTGGCCAGGGCAGGAAGCAGTGCCCAGCAGAGGCAGGGCAGCCTTGGTGTGTCTGCAGCAGGACCCAAACCTGCGGTGCTGCCAGGAGCCCCCCACCCCACTGCCAGTGCCCCACAGGACGTTTTAGAGCTAGCTCCTCTCCTCTGGGATTTTACCCCAGCACCTTGCCAAACGTTGCTCCCACAGCATGTCCATTTTTCTGGGTCCAGACCCCCAAACTCGAGCACAGGGGGTCAGTGGGGGCAGTCCCTGGGCTCAGGATTTCTCTTCTGTAGGACCTGCTGTCCCCACACCCATCCTCCTGCAGTGGCTGCCTGTGATGGGCAAGTGGGGACCTCCTACCCCCGACAGGAGCCCCTTCCTGGGGGCAGCACTGGTGTGTTCTGGCACAGAAGGGGTTCCCTCACTCCCAGCCCTGCAGCTGCTGAGTGGCCCCTTGTAAATATTTGACTCCCTCTAAGTGTTGTTCCCGGCTGAGGCAGCTCTGCCCAGGGGGGTCCCAGCTGCTCAGCCCCCGAGCCCAGAGTCCTCCGAGCCCCGGGGTCCCTGTCCAGGCTGCAGAGGGCACTGAGGGCCAGGCTGTGCTTTTGTCAGGGCAGGAGGTGAAGGGAGGACGGGGAGGGGATGTAGGTAATGGTGGGATTTGGGGCTTCTGGGGCTGCTGCCTCCAAGGTGCCAGGAGGGCAGGGAGACCCCCCTGCCACTGGACACTGTAGAGAGGGGTCACACCCTGCCACAGTGAGCCAGAGGCAGCCAGGAGCACCCTGAGCACCCAGGTGACAGAGACAGCAGGGCAGCATTGCCCCGGGGGCTCTTGGACCCCAGGGAGCAGAGGGAGCACCCTGAGAGCAAGGGAACATGTTTGGGGACAGCACCCTGGGCACTGTGGGCAGGTACCTGGCAAGGGACAGCTGGAGTGGGACTGGCACACCAGGCACTCCTGTGGCACCACGGTGGGGCAGGGGTGACTTTGTCACCTCTCAGAGGACATGGCAAAGGCTGGTGGCTCCTCGGGGTCTCAGAATGTCACGCTGAGGCCTCAGCCCGTGTCTGCAGGGCCGCGGCCTCTGGGGCTGAGGCGGTCCCTGGGGGACCAGTGAGAACAAACAGCGGCGAGTTTTCACTCTCGGCTCATGGAAAAACCAGGCCCACCCTCGCAGTGATTCACCAGCGTGCTCCGCCAGCCCCCCACACGGCACGGGAGAGGGACGGGGCCGAGCACCACCGCCATCCCGGCCCTGCCCCGCTCCCGGGGCCCCGGGCACGGGCAGGGAGCCGGCCCTGGCCCCGGGCGGCACCGGGACGGGGCCCCAGAGGATGTCGCAATGCCGGGCCCCATGCCAGCCCCCCGGGCTGTGGGATCAGGGTGTGTGTCACCCTCGCTCCAGGGCCAGAGAGGGGCTGGCACTGAGGGGTGTCTGGCTGAGGGACACGGCGTGGGGACCCAGAGCCAGGGCTGGCAATGATCAGAGCTGCTGTGAGGTTTAACTTCCATGGGGGACAAAAGACAGGTGGCAGTGCCACCCTGCACAAGGGAGGAGCACCGCAGTGGGGACTTTGCAGGGATGGCGTGTTGGGGTAGGGCTGGGCATCCCACTGGGCATTCTAGTGGGGCACTGGGCTGAGGACCATGTCAGCCAGGAAGGTGGGCTGGGGCAAGTGGGGTGGCAAGAACATCCACAGCCTGGAGAAATGGGGCCCAGGAGGAGAGGAGGGGTGTGGTCCCTGTGGGGGTCTGTGTCCCAGGCTGTCCAGTCCCCACTATTGCCGTGCCTCTGTCCTGTCCCACATCATCCCCTCTGCAGCCTCGACTAATTTGCAGTGGAGGGCCATGTAGGAGCTGGACTTGATGAACCTTGTGGGTGCCTTCCAACTCAGGGTATCCCATGATTCTATGATTTCCAGATGCTTCTCGGCCCAAGCAAGGCAGAGTGGCACTGACCAGGCTGTCCACCACCACAGCCATCCCTGTCACACCCTGTCCTGGTGACAAACCCACAGCTCCCACTGTGAGGGCTGCCAGGAAGGCAGAGCAGGTCGGTCACCCACACTGGCTGTGGTCTGGCCACAGTGCCAGGGTTGAGGCACAGTCTCAAACCTGTACCTCAGGTTTCAACAGCACACTGGAGCAATGGGGCATCTTTACAATGAGCCAGGGGTTTACACTCAGGGACAGGCAGTGTCAGGATCATGCCCTGGTGCTGCCACTCTGTGCCTGCATCCTTCAGAGTGTGTCCCCCGCCGTGATGGAGGCTGATGGCCCAGGGATCTCTGGCTATGGAGGAGGATCTCTGGATCTTTGGCAGGAGGGAGCCAGGCTGTCAAAGCTGAGTTTCCCCCAGCACCCGCTGTGCTGCGATTCAGGCTCGAGGCTGCAGCCCCACGTGGCTCCTGGCCCGGGACAGTTAATCCCGGCAGCTGTAGGGCTGCAGCCCTTGGCACCCTCTGCAGCTGCACCTCGGGGCGGCACCAGCCGGGCCCCACCCTGGTGTCCCTCTCCGTGGGCTGGGGTCCCACACCAGTGTCCCCCTCCATGGGCTGAGGTCCCACCCTGGTGTCCCTCTCCGTGGGCTGGGGTCCCACCCTGGTGTCCCTCTCCATGGGCTGGGGTCCCACCCTGGTGTCCCTCTCCATGGGCTGGGGTCCCACCCTGGTGTCCCTCTCCACAGCCCCTGGAGGAGCCCGTGTCTGCAGGCTCAGGATGGATGATGGGTGGGCCTGGCCACAGGGAGCAGCTCTAAATTCCCTGTGTTGCCCCTGCAGGCCGAGGTGGGATTGGTGCGGCAGCGGCGGGAGCTGCAGCCATGGAGCAGAGCCAGGCGGGTGCCTGAGGCTGCTGGAAGGAGCAGGAGGGGATGCAGGGGGTGCGGGACATGGAGCCCCCCAACAGCAGCACGGCCGGGCAGGACTCGTGCTTCGGGGTGTTCAATGCCAGCGATGGCCGTGCCAGCGCACAGAACAGCATCGCCTCGCCCTGGTTCTCCACGGCCTTCGGCCTCATCGGCCTCTGTTCCAACCTCTTTGCCCTCTGCGTCCTGGTCAGCTCCTCCCGCAAGCTCTCCAGCCAGGCCCGCTCCTCCTTCCTCATCTTCCTCTGCGGGCTGGTGGTCACAGACTTCATGGGGCTGCTGGTGACAGCCTCGGTCATCATCCCCTACCACTTCATCAAGTTCTCCTGGGCCAAGGTCGACCCTGGCTGCCACCTCTGCAACTTCCTCGGCTTCTCCATGGTCTTCTTCGGGCAGTGCCCACTGCTGCTGGGGGCCACCATGGCCGGGGAGCGCTTCTTGGGCATCAACCGCCCCTTCTCCCGCTCCACCAGCCTCTCCAAGCGCCGCGCCTGGGCCATCGTGGGGCTGGTGTGGGGCTTCTCCTGCTTTCTGGGACTGCTGCCGGTGTTCGGGCTGGGGCGCTACACGCTGCAGTTCCCCGGCTCCTGGTGCTTCCTCACCCTCCTGCCCAACACTGGCGACGTCGTCTTCTGCCTGCTCTTTGCACTGCTGGGCATCCTCTCCGTGCTGCTCTCCTTCGTCCTCAACACCGTCAGTGTGGTCACACTCTGCCGCGTCTACCACGACCGCGAGTCGGTGCAGCGGCGCCGCGACAGCGAGGTGGAGATGATGGTGCAGCTCGTGGGCATCATGATCATCGCCACCATCTGCTGGATGCCCCTCCTGGTGAGGCCTTTGTCCTGGTGTGCCTCATCACCACCCCTCTGTGTCTGTCCTGTTCCTCCTTGTGAGGGTCTTTGTGTCACCTGTTCCCCCTTGTGGGGTCTCAGTCTTGGTGTGTTCCCCCCACCTCCCTCCAGTGTCCCTCCTGGGGCTTGGTGTCCCCCACCCTTCACAGTGAGGTCCCAGCTTTCATTGTGTCCCCTCCATGTCCCTGCTAGTGAGGTCCCAGGTTTGAGGGTGTCCCCTTGGTAAGACTTCCCCTGCTGCTGTCCCCCTGCCACCTCTCTGCAGCCCGAGGTGGCCCCTGGTGACAGGCAGAGCAGTGCCCCGAACCGGGCCAGGGCTCCTCCCAGGGGCTCAGTGCCTTGACCTTCATCACTTCCCCATCCTGGGGCAGCTCACAGATCCTCCACTGACACTTTTTTCTCCTTTCTCCCCAGATCTTCATTGTCCAGATGGTCCTGCAGCAGCTGCCTGGCCAGGCCCAGGTGCTGCCCACGGACACGCAGGAGATGCTGCTGATCTACATCCGCATGGTCACCTGGAACCAGATCCTGGACCCCTGGGTGTACATCCTGTTCCGCCGGGCCGTGCTGCAGCGCGTGTACCCCCGGCTGCCCCCCCGGCCCTCCATCGTCTCCCTCAGCCCCTCCCTGCCCCGCAAGCTCACCGCCGGCTCCGTCCTGCAGTAGCACCCTGGGGACGGGCACTGGGCAGGGGGACACGGCCATGCCCCACTCACCCACGCTGGATCCTCATCACCTGCATCCAGGGGCTTCCCCCCTCACAAGCCCCGTAGCCAAGGGGCTGTCAGGGGGCACAGGGCTGCTTCCCCCTCCCCGTCCCCAATAAAGCACAGCTGGTGCAGCTCTTGGTGCCTGCTGGTGACCACCCGAGGGGGGCCCAGGGAGGGCACCTGGGGGGAACCCACACTGCTGACAATCAGAGCGGCAGCCCTTCTCCTCCTGTCTCTCTTTTAATGAGCCACAGCTGCTGCCCACCACATCTGGGGGGTGTGCAAGGGGGATCCTCAGGAAGGTGGGTGGGTTGGGTACCTTCTGCCCTCCATGCCAAGGGACAGATCTAGGTGCTGCTCAGGAGGGTGTGGGGGACAGGATGGGGACCCCCACCAGCACCTCAGCCCCAGATGGGGGGGGGGGTGAGGTGGGGGCATGGGGAGGGAACAAAAGTGAGGGGAAACACCTGCCCCCCCAGCTACTCCTTATCCCCCTTGGCATGGCAGACAGCTGCCCACACCTCGGCCACGAACTCCTGGGGGAAGGCGAACTCGCCCAGCACCGAGTCCAGCCCCTGGGCAAGCTGGGCCACGCTAGGGCTGCCCTTGGCTGCCTCCACCATCGTCGAGGCTGTCGGGGAGAAGAGGGAGGTCAGGGCAGTGTGAGGGGCTGGGACAGGAGCAGGGGCTGAGTCGGGGTCTGGGGCAGGAGCAGGGGAAGAGGCAGGAGCTGGGGCAGGAGGAGGAGCTGGGGCAGGGCAGGAGCTGGGGAAGGGGCAGGGGCTAGGGCAGGGTTGGGGTGGGGGTGAGGGTCAGGGCAGGTCAGTGGTAGGGGCAGGGTCAGCTCTGGGTCGGGGTCCAGGCCCCTCCTCACCCAGCTCGCTGTCACGGATGCCCATGTAGCTCTCCAGCAGATCATCCACCCGCCGGGCCGCTTCTTCCTCGGGGGGGCTGGGCTGGGGGCGAGGCGCGGGGTGAGTGCCGGGCAGCACGGGGAGCACCCAGGGCCACGGGGATGCTGATCCCCACCCTGGCACAGGGTGAGCAGCCAGACGCTCAGAGTGGGGGACTCGGGGTGGGCCTTACCCCCTCCTCCAGCACGGCCGGACCCTGCGTCCGCAGCCGCAGCGTTTCCTTCCCGCTGGCCGCTCTGCCTTCGCCCGGGGATTTGCCTGTCCGCGTCCGCTGCCCGATCATGTCTGTGCCCCGGGGCGGGGGGTGAGGGCACAGGCAGGGCCGGGCATCCCCACCCCTCGCTGCTCAGTGCCCGGCCATCTCCCAGCCCCCCGGGGGCACTGCAGGGTGAGCCGTGGGTGCGATGGGGGGGGTGTCAGGGACACCCAGGGGTGCAGGGTGGGCATGCTCGTGGTTATGGGGTGCTCACAGATGCTCGGGACAACACTCACAGAGCAAGGGGGTGCCCATGGGGGTACGAGCAGGTGTGGGAACCCCCCCGTGGGTGCCCCAGGGCTGTGGGGTACACACACATAGTGGGGATGCAGAAGGGTGCACACAGGGGGCAGTGAACCCTGGCAGGCACCCGGTCACTGGGGAGGGACTGCAGGGCCTCAGGGGGCTGGGGATGATCCCGGGGTCCCCAGGGCAGGAGCAGGGGGACCTTCCCAACTCACCAAAGGCCTTTTTTGGCTGGACCAGGCGGAGGGTGAAGGGCTGAGCCCGCGGCAGCTCCCGCAGCATCCGGGCCACCTCATAGTGCCGGCAGCCCACGATGGTGTGGTCATTGATGGCCTCGATGCTGTCCCCCACACACACTGTCTGCAGCCGGTTGATGATGCTCCCCTCCTTGATCCTCTGGGGACCACGGCGGGACAGGGACACAGCGACCACACGGCACAATGGGGCAGTCAGACACAGCCCCCATCCCGACCCACACACAACCACCTCAGTGGTCCCACACCCTCTGGTAGCCGGGTCAGGCAGGGAAGCCCCCCCAAACATCCCCAGGGCAGGGGAGATCCCCGGGGCCAGGATGGCCCAGGGAAGGACTGATGTGGGGAGTCAGGGAGGAGCCTGGTGCCGGGGGGATGTGCAGGGCATGTCACCTGCAGGCCACGGTCCCCAGGGCTGCCCCAGCCCCAGGCTGCTCCCCAGGGGTTCACCTTGATGAAGGCGTAGCCAGCCCCGTTGTCTGTGATGGTGAGGCCAAGCGCGTCCTCTGTCTTGGTCACCTCCACCTCCTTGGTCTCGCCCCGGACGTGGGCGAAGATGAAATCCTCCAGGCCAATCTGTCCCCCCAGCAGCTTCTGCATGTCCACTTTGTGCGTGTTGAGGGTGCAGAAGAGGATCTGCCCCGGGGAACCCCGTCAGCAGGGACTGGGGATGCCCCAGTAGGGCAAGAGGTGTCAGGGGAGCCACGGCCAGTGCAGGGAGATTTGGTCAGATCTGGGCACTGCTAGAACAGGGGCCCAGGGACCCCCAGCCTGCCTGGGACACTGCACTGCCCCATCCCTGCCCACCTTCCCCCAGCTCCAGCAGCTGAAATCAGCCAGGAACTGGCAGCCATGGCTCCCTGCCACATACAGAGGGTAAACTGAAGCACAGAGCCCCCAAACCCTCCCCAGAGGAGCCAATACGACCCTGAGGCCATAACACTCTTGCAGAAAATTTTGGGGACTACATTTGCAAGCATCTGGGGACTTGGGGGAGCACAGGCCACAGACAGTGCCTGAGGGTGGGTGTCCCTGCCTGGGGCACGAAGACCCCACCCCGGGCCGCAGCCCCTCACCTCGGTGGGCGAGATGTCAAAGACCTCGGCGATTTTGGCGTAGAGCTCCTTGACGTTGGTGAAGCCCTCGATGCGCCCCGTGGGGCTGCCGTGGGCCAGCTGCGTGTGGAACACCAGCCGGGGCCGGCTGCGGGGGGCCCGGGGGGCGGCGGGGCCGGGCGGCTCGGGGGTCCCCGGCTCCTGCCCCACGCCGTTCTCCATGGGGCCGCCCTCGGGGGGCTGCCGGCCGTGCCTGCCCGCCCGCTGCATCCCTGCGGCGCTGCTGAATTATGGATGGGGCTGGCTCCCCGCCGGCCGTAAGGTGAGCCCCGCAGCCGGGAACCTGAGCCGGTGGCGCAGGGCAGCCGCGGGGATCGGGTGAGCTCTGCCAGACGGGAGGAGCCCGCCCCGAGCAGCACCAGCGCAGGCCGGGGCTGGGGGCTGCAGTGATGGGCTCAGGGCCGTCACCCACCGATCCACCCCACAAGCAAGCCCGGGATCAGCTCCAGAGCCCCCGCTGAGCACAGACACACAGAGACCAGAGCGGTTTTCTCCCACATTTATTTGCTCCCATCTCCATCCCCAGCCCAGCGGCAGCAGGAGATGGCAAATGGCAGATGCACAGCGCAGGCCCGGCAAGCGAGGGAGGGGTGGGAACACCCCGGCCCCCGGCCCATGTAGTGCTAAGTAAGAAAATAAGACACTCTCTAATTACACAGTCTGAGATTAATGACAGGCAGCCCCGGGGACACCAAGCCCGACCCCGGCTGCCAGCACAGTGGTCCCACAAGAGCAGGGGGGCTCAGGCAAAAGGGGCAGGAGGCAAAAGCCAGTGCAGCACACCCAGGGTCCCTACAAGCAGGAAGGGGTTGGTCACAGCTCCCCTGCTACAGGGTCCATGGCAGGGGGTCAGTCCCAGCTCTCCCCTGCTCCCTTCCCTAGGAGGGGGTCACAGTTCCAGCTCCCCTCTGGCCCAAAGAGTTTTATTGCTGTCAGGAGCTCGCTGCCTGGTCCCATATACAGAGGGGAAGGAGGGGAGCCAAGCAGGGTGACAGGGGCAGGGGCTGAAGGCACACATCAAATAAAAGCTGAGGCAGGTAGGGGGAAGGAACTGCCCTCATGTCCTTGCAGGGATGGGACCAAGAGGCTCCCAAGCTGGCCAGGGGACAGGAGGCAGCACCAGGACCAAGGGGTCCCCCCACTGCCCCCATTCCCCACAGCCCCAGTTCACCCTGAAGGGCTGTGTTCACTCCAGACCCAAACCCACCAGCGCCTCCCCTGCCCCAGTCAGGCTTCAGGGAGCCCCTGGTTGGCAAGGCAGGGCTAGGGGCCCAGGGGAGAGCGAGGGGGGCTCATGCCAATGCTGACCCTCTGCCCCAGCTGGGCTCTCAGCCCTGTCACCACCTGTCCCCCAAAGCTCAAGGTCCCTGGAGTTGGTGCAGCCGTGGGTTAGGTGGTCTGGGCTGGGGGTCCCGGCTGCAGGAAGGTGCAAGGGGCAGGGGGAGCAGCCAGAGCCTCTGCAGAGACTGTCCCTTGAGTGAGCTCAAGGGACAGGCACGGGGTCCAGCCAGGTCCGGGGTCTGGAAGGACTGGTCCTCTCACAAGTGTTCACTGAGGAGGGAGAAAAGCACAGCTGAGTTACAGAATCCCACAATGGTCTGGATTGGAAAGAGTCCTAAAGTTCATCCAGCTCCTCCCTCTGCCATGGCAGGGACACCTCCCACTGTCCCAGGCTGCTCCCAGCCCTGCCCAGCCTGGCCTTGGGCACTGCCAGGGATCCAGGGGCAGCCACAGCTGCTCTGGGCACCCCAAGCCAGGGCCTGCCCACCCTGCCAGGGAACAATTCCTGCCCAATCTCCCATCCAGCCCTGCCCTCTGCCACTGGCAGCCATTCCCTGGCTCCTGTCCCTGCAGGCCTTGTCCCCAGTCCCTCTGCAGCTCTCCTGGAGCCCCTTCAGGCCCTGCCAGGGGCTCTGAGCTCTGCCTGGAGCCTTCTCTTGTCCAGGGGAGCAGCCCCAGCTCTGCCAGCCTGGCTCAGAGCAGAGGGGCTCCAGCCCCAGAGCATCTCTGTGGGCTTCCCTGTACTTGCTCCAACAGAGCAGCATCTTTGGACATGGAGACACTTCCTGAATTCAGGGACTGGGCTGCACTCTCCCACAGCTCCCTGGAGCAGCTGCACCATCTCTGCCCATTGCTGTCCGCACCTTTCCTGCTCAGCTCCCATCACCACCAGCTGGAGCTCAGCCTGGCAGTGCCATGGGGACACCTGTGCCACGCTCCCAGCCCTGCGCTCACCTGGCAATCCGGGACAGGATCTCCTTGACACGCAGCACCAGCGGCTCGTGCTGCAGGGGGTTGCTCTCAATGGCACTGTGCAGTTTGGCCATGTAGAAGTCCAGGGTGCTCAGCGTGGGGGTCTCCCCAGTGCCTGTGAGGTGACAGCCCAGTGAGCAGGACTAGCAGGTCCCCACCCCACCATGCTCATGTGCTGGGGACTACAGAAGGATCCCAGCACTAGATGCCACCTCCTGGAGTGGCACAAGCCCAGGAACACAAGGATTTGGGCCAATCTGGGGTGCAGCTGTGAATGTGACCCCACAGAAGGAGGGATCCCAGCCTGCCCTGTCCCAGGACAGGGAAGCCAGCTGGCTGTCACATCCCTGGGCTTCCCGGACAGCTCCCCATGTGCTGCAGGATGCCACCCCAGCAGCAGATGGGCACTTACCACCACCCCACTGCCCCAGTGCTCCCCTGCATGAGATGGGGGTCCCCCTCAGTGCCCCTCTGCCCAGGCAGGGGTCCCAGCAGCTCGGGGGCCCCACAGCTGCTCCCAACTCACCAGGGATGGGCAGGGAGGCGAAGCTGGCAGTGAGGGCCTGCCGCACAGACTGGAGCTGCTGCTGCAGGGCCAGGGTCTGCCGCTCCTCCTGCACCAGCTCCTGCTCCAGCTTCTCCTTGGCGCAGTTCATGCTCTCCGTGTGCTTCTGCAGGATGGCGTTCTGCTCCTCGAACTCCGTGTTCATCTTGCGCAGGCGTCGCAGCTCGGCCTCCCGGGCTGCGGGACAGCCCCGTGTGTGGGGACAGACGCTGCACAGCCCCTCCACCCAAACCCCGGCCCACACACGGCTCTCCCCAGCCGCTCTGTGTCACCAATGCCCAGGCCCCAGCCAGGACCTGGTCCCTCCCCACGAGCTTCCCAAGGACCCTCCAGAGCCCCTACCCTTGTTTTGGTCCAAGAACTCCTCGGTGAAGATGGGCACATCAAAGGTGGAGAAGGTGTCGCTGCACTCACCAGCCTGAGGGATGAGAGGGAGGGGTTGGGCAGGGCTGAGCCCACCAGAGGGAACCCCAACACCTTGGGCCAGGCTGATGAGGGCACCGGGACAGGGTGAGGGCTGGCCCTGTCTGGCAATGGGGTGGGAGGAGGGCTATGCTCTGTCTCCCACCCCTCCAGGAACCTGGGACTCACAGCCCCAGACTCCCTCTGCCCACCCACACCTGCAGCCAGCCCAGCAGTGTGACGTGCCTCAGTTTCCCCACACACAAGCAGATCTGACAGGGCCTTACCTTGTGCGGGTGCCCGTTGAGTAGGGTGTTCACGGCCACTGCACCCACATCCTCTGCAGGGGAGGAAGGAGGTCACCCAGGGCCCAGCCTCATGTCCCCGAAAGGCTCTGGCAGCACCTGGCTGGATCCTGCAGCCATTGCTCCCACAACCCACCTTTTTTGATCTTTTTCTCCTGGATCTTCTCCGTGCACATTTTGTAGGCCTCTGACTGCTGGTACTCCCGCAGCTCCTTCATGTACTGCTGCTTCTCCCGCTCCGCCTCGTCCAGGTACCGCTGGGGGGTCACAGAGGGCCTCAGCCTCCTGCCCAGCTCCCACTCCCCAGCACCTTTCTTGGAGCAAGCTCAGGGGTTTGGGGAGCAGGCTCTGGAGCTGCCCAGCCCTGGGGGGTCTCCCCTGGGGGCCAGTACCTGCTTCTCTGAGAGCTGCAGCTTGCTCCACTCCGCTCCCAGCATCTTTGTGATCTCTGGGAAGGGCAGGTCGGGATGCTGCGTGCGGATCTGCTCGCGCCGCTCGTTCAGGAAGCGCACGTAGCCCGTCACGGGGGCTTTAGGGCCGTTGGGAAGGATCTTCTTCCTCTTCTTGCCCTTGGGCCAGCCCCTCTTCTTCACCGGCTGGCACCCATGGGGGAGGGACAGCCCGTCAGGGATCAGAGCCATCACATCAGTGGGACACAGAGCAGCCCCAGGCCCACCTGGGCCATGCAGCCCTCAAGGCAAAGTCTGAGCCATTCCCTGCCTGCGGCCACAGCACAGACTCACGTGGGCTGGTGCAGGGCAAGCGGAGGGGCAGGGACAGCCCCAGGCAGGGCACCTTGGGCCCCACTCCCAGGGACAGTGTGAGAAGGGACACAGGCTCTGGGACTCACCTCCTCCTCCGGCTTCTCACCGCCCACCCGCGCCGACTCTCCCTTCTCCTGTTTGATGGCCACCAGGAAGTTCCCATGCTGAGCCTTGCCTGTGGCATGTCTGCAGCCAGAGAGCACCATCAGAGAGGGCTGGGACACCATGGGGACCAACAGTGACACATCCCCCAGCAGCATGAGCTCACACTCACCAGATTCCCCAAACCCCCTGACTCAAAGAGCCCCGAACCCAGCACCAGCCACAGAGCCCTTGCTCCCATGAGGGGAGGCTGCAGCAGAGATGGCACTGAAGCAGAGCCCAGCACTGTGAGCAGGGCAGCCCTGCACACTAAAGCCACCCTGAGGTCTGGTGGCAGCCCTGGGACTCCTCAAGGACATTTGGATGGAGCTTGGCTCTTGGGGTCAGGTAACATTGACAGTCACACCCCTGCCTGTCACCTGGGCTTGGGACACACCTTGGTGGGGAGTCCCAAGGGACTCTGCAAGGGAGCAGGAGCTGCAGGGGTTTGGATCCTGGTGCCAGGGGCACCACCTGGAAGCATCACCCCCACCCCAGGAGCCCTGGAGGCAGAGGGTGAGGGCAGGGTGCTGCTTGAGCTGCTCCAGCCACAACCACCCCAGCAGGTTGTGCTGCCTGGGACACCTCCCCAACACCTCGAGTGGCTGCACTGCGGGGCCCAGCCCTGTCCCCAGGTCACTGCCACGGCTTCATGGATCAGCAGCTGCTTCACGCAGAGCCTCCCTGCCCCACCGAGCACCCCGGGTGGGTAGAGCCTCCATGTTCCACCACAGCATCACCCTGGGGCTCCCCAAGCCCCCCAGCAACTCCTTCAGCTGGCTCCATCCCCCAGCCCTGTGCCATTCACACCCCAGGGTCCTCAAAGCAGCTCCTGCTCTGCTGGAAATGTCTCACCACGTCAGGGGAGCCACAAAGGGCTCCTGAGTATCACCAAGTGATGCTCGCTTGGGCTCCAAGCAGGTCCCCAGACCTGGGAACCAGTCCAGGCCCAAACACAAGCCCTGCCTCAGACATGTGCCAAAGCCACAGCGACCCCAACCTGCTCAGGATGCACCTTGGGATTTCCCTTGTGTTTGCCACATCATTCACCTGGAGCAAATCCCAATCCCTGAAGAGACCCCAAGCTATGGCTCTCCATTTATCACCCAGACAAGCCGTCCTTGCAGTTATTTCAGGAGGCCCCTTCTGTAAGCCCCCAGCACAGAGCCTGCCACTGCAGTGGCTCTTGAAGAAAAAATGGGACAAGTCCCTCCACCAGCACCAGAGGCAACCAGTGCCCTAACCCCCACGTTCACAAAAAGCCCTACAGGAAGGTGTGAGACCACCTCTTCTTCCAGCTCCCGGGGAAAAAGAACCCTCTGAGGCTGTGCAGGGTCATGGCCAGCCTTTGGCTTTATCAGCTGCAAGAGCAATGTTCCCAGTGATGTGCACAGCATCATCATGTTCACCAGGAACACTGTGACACTCTCCAGCACCAGACAGATCACCCTCCCCCCTTGTGATCCGAATTCCTCAAATGCCTAAGGATGCTTTAAAAAGTAATCTCAGGCAAGATTCCTCCTCAGCCAGTTCACTCTGGCATTCACCTCCCTCCACCTCTGAGGCGCTTCCCCACCCACCAGCCCCTGCATCAGAAGGGCCAAGGACAACTCAGGACAGCACAAATCTCAGAGGAATTCAGCCCTTGCTGCTTCTGATCTCCCAATATGCTTAGAATCACAGAACCATGACATACCCAGAGCTGGAAGGGACCCTCAGCCCAGCCCCTGTCCCTGCACAGCCACCCCAACAGCCCCACCCTGAGCAGCCCTGGCAGCGCTGTCCAAACGCTCCTGGAGCTCTGGCAGCCTTGGGGCCGGGACCATTCCCTGGGCAGCCTGGGCAGTGCCAGCACCCTCGGAGTTTCTGCTGCTCTTTCACCAGGGGCACTGACACACAACAGGGTGGCCAGAGGAGGTGGTGGCAGGTGGTGGCACTTACAGCAGGGCGGCAGACGGCTGCTTGGTGCTGTGGGCCATGGGCAGGGCTCTCGGTCAGCACGCTGTGGGCAGAGCACAGTTGGCACTGTCATCAGGTGGTGGTGCCCCTGCCAAACCCCCCTCAGAGGTGTCTCCCTCGTGGGGAAATCACAGGACCCCTCCCCGAACAGCATCTCCTCCCTAACCAGCCCCTCCCTGGCCTCTCCACCTGCCCCAGCCCCCAGGACCCCGGCACAAGCTCCAGCCTGCTCCCACTGACCCACCCCTCCCTGGGCTGCCATCGCAGCTCCCACGGGCTCCTCCCCCGGCCCCCTGAGCCCTGCCCGGCAGAGCCCCCCTCCCCGAGACCCACGGCAGCCCAACAGCTGCACCCCACAACACTCGGCGCCCCTCGCACCCCCAGGGCCCGCCCTCCCTGCTGGGGTCCCATCGCAGCGCCCCAAGGGCTCCCTCCCATAACCCGCCCTCCACCCCCGACTCCCCGAGCCCCCAGGAGCGCCCCTCACACAGGATCCCCACATACACATCCTCACACATCATATCCCCACAGGATCCCCACACAGGATCCCCTCAGGAGCGCCCCTCCCACAGGATATCCCCACAGGATTCCCTCCCGAAGGATCCCCCCCAGAGGAGCAGCCCTCCCACAGGATCCCCCACAGGATCCCCCCAGGAACGCCCCTCCCGAAGGATCCCCCCCAGGATATCCCCACACAGGATCCCCTCCCGAAGGATCCCCCACAGGATCCCCCCACAGGATATCCCCACACAGGATCCCCTCCCCTCACAGGATCCCGGTCCGGACCCGCCGCCGCCGCCGCTCACCTGACCACGCCCCTCTATTATTATGCAAACGAGGCTCCCGCCGCACGGCCCGCGATTGGCCGCTCGGCGCCGACTCGCGGAGGGCAGCCGGACGCGGGTTGGCTGGGTGTGATGACGTCAGAGGGAAGCGGCGGAAGGGGGGTCGGCGCTGACGGGCGCGGCGCGCGCGCGCTGCGGGCGGCCCGACCAATCAGCAGCCAGCGTGGGGACGAGGAAGTGTTGTGGCTAGGGCAGCATCTTAAAGGGGCAACCACAAAGCGGCGGGGCCTCATCAACAGCGCCTTAAAGGGGCAACGTGACGGCGGGTCCCGGCGCCGCCCCATCCCAGTGACCCCAGTGCGTTCCCATCGCCCCCAGGAACCGCAGTGCCACCCCAGGGCTGACCCTCTGGCTCAGCTAGCCTGCTCCCAGCAGCCCCCGTACCCGCCCAGCAGGGGGTACCCGTGACACCAGTACTTATCCTAGAGTCCCAGTGACCCCAGCACTGCTTCCAGTCACCCCAGTACAGCCCATACTGGTTCCAGTGACTCCATTAAATACACAAGGAGAGGTCTCTCGCGACCTCCAGTCTGCTCCCAGCCTCTCCAGTATTCACACAGCTGGGGATCCCCATGATGCCTGTAGTCACCACAGAGTCCCAGTGACCCTCACACTCCTCCCCAGAGGGTCTCAGTGCCCCCAGTAGTGCTCATACTGGTCCCAGTCACAACAGCACCTACTCAACAGGAGCTCCCAGGTGCCCAAGGAAGCCCACACTAGTCCCAGTGACACCAGTACTCACGCAGGAGGGGGTGTCCCATGACTCCAGTAGCCACCCCAGAGTCCCAGTGACCCCAGTACTCCCCGCACACTGTCCCCAGCCCCCCCAGTGGGGCCCATTGTTGTAAATGAGAAGCTTGACTAGGCCAATATTCAAGCAGCAATCAATTTATTAATTAATATGGTAAAGTATGAGCAATACAGCACCGGGTACAGTGGGGGGAATTTTCCCTCCACCTGCACAACAACAGTTGGGGCTTACAGGTATTTATAGGGGTACTCATAAGCTTTCTCAGCAATTTCTATTCCAAATTTTTACATCACAATTCTATACACTATTGTGATTTAGTTTTTCTCAGGATGTATCCCAGAAAGGAGTATCCCCACATGGTGGGGTCCGGCTTCCAAAAGAAGAAAGAAATTTCCCAGTTGGTGAGATCCAGATTACAGATGTGGGTCCACCTTTTAATTGTAAGGACTGTAAATCTCATACCAGTGATGTCCAGCTTCCCTTGGTTGAAACTATCAATCCTTGAGTTGATCCTCCTTTCTCAAGCTGCTTTTCACTGTTTGTTAGCGCGTTGAGATAAGCATGTTTCCTTTTTATATATTGTAAAGCTACAGTTTCAAAGATCCTTACTACAAGCAATATTCTAAAATGATACTTCAAAAGGTTATTATTGCAAAACTCTTTTTAGCTAGAAGCAGAAAGTTCCTGTCAAACAGCAACATCCTTAAAGCTTTAATTCAAATGCTCCTAAATCAACTTAAGACTTATAAAGGTTAATTGCAAACAAAGAATAGGTTCAAAGGCCTTCTTCCATGCTTTACTCCCTCAGTTATTTATTAGAATTGTCCTTGTGACTGTCCCACGGTCAGTTTCCACACATATCCCAATCACAGATACACAGGTTGCCTGCATGTACCTGACACGAAACACAGCTTTGCATTTCACACCATCACGACCCAGAAGGTCCCAGTCACCCCCACCAAGTCCTACTGACCCCAGAGCCCATCCAAGCAGGGGTTCCCCCACATCTGCAGCCCGATGACCAGCGGGTGAGCAGCATCCCAGTGACTCCACAACCCCTGTACCCTCACTCCTGCAGTCTGACACTCCCCACTGGTGCACACTGGGGCGTTGGGGTGACTGGGAGCAGTGTACTGGGATCACTGGAACTCAGGCAGCTGCAGGCATCATGGGCACCCCGGCATTGAACACCGGCACTGCTGGGAGCAGCGAGGGTGTACTGGTGTCACTGGGATTCTGGGGTGCCTACTGGCAGCATGGGCACCATCGCCTTGCTAGGGTGGGTACTGGGGTCACTGGGAGCACTGGGGAGGTACTGGAGTGACTGGGACATTCCCTTGTGGGCAGTGGGACTGTTACAGGCAGCACTGGTGTACTGGGAGCTGTGTGGGAGCTCTGGGGTCTGCGGGACTGCTGTGGGCAAGGCAGGAGTGGCTGGAAGTGGGGGAGTAATACTGGGATCACTGGGGACAGCACTGGTGTGACTGGGAGCAGTATGGGACCAGCACTGGTGTGACTGGGAGCAGTACAGGACCAGCACTGGTGTGACTGGGAGCAGTAGGGGACCAGTACTGGTGGGACTGGGAGCAGTACAGGGCCGCCACTGGTGTGACTGGGAGCAGTGCCGTGGCACTGGTGTGACTGGGAGCAGTACGGGACCAGCACTGGTGTGACTGGGAGCAGTGCTGTGGCACTGGTGGGACTGGGAGCAGTACGGGACCAGCACTGGTGGGACTGGGAGCAGTACAGGACCAGTACTGGTGGGACTGGGAGCAGTACAGGACCAGTACTGGTGGGACTGGGAGCAGTAGGGGACCAGCACTGGTGTGACTGGAGCAGTACAGGACCAGGGCTGGTGTTGCTGGGAGCAGCGTGGGGCAGTGTGATGTGTCTGGGAGCGGTGCGGGACAGCAGCGGAGCCCCGCGGGGCCGGAGCGGGGCCAGCCCGGGGCAGCCGGGCGCTCCGGTGCCGCCCCCCGCTCTCCCCGCCCAGGACGGCTCCGGGGCCGCGGGGAGCAGCGGAGCGGGCCGGTCCCTCCCTGTCCCTGCCACCTCCTCCCTCCTCCCGCCGCGTCCCTCCCCGTCCCCTCCCATTCCCGGGGAGCCTCCCGCGGGCCGTGCCGCGCTGTCCCGCGGGCTCGGCCGGGCCATGGCGGAGCCCCCGCAGTCCCCGCAGCCCCCGGGCCCGGCGCTGCCGCTGCGGGCGCGGCTCAGCTTCGCGTGCGGGCACTTCCTGAACGACGCGTGCTCGGCGCTCTGGTTCACCTACCTGCTGCCCTTCCTGCACGCTGTGCTGGGCTACGGGCACGGCGCGGCCGGCGGGCTGCTGCTGGCCGGCCAGGCGGCCGACGGGCTCTGCACGCCGCTGCTCGGCTTCGAGGCCGACCGGGCCCACGGCTGCGGCCGCTGCGGGCGCAGGAAGGGCTGGCACCTGGCCGGTGGGTGCAGAGGGACGGCCGGGCGGGGGCTGCGGGCACCGGGAGCTCCGGGGGGAGCCGGGGGGAGAGGGCTGAGCCCGGAGCGCCGGTCTGGGGTGCGCTGAGTGCCCGACATCCGAGGGGGGAACTTTGCTGGGATGCCGTAAGTAGACAGGCATGACCCTGGGGGAGCTTTGCGTGTGTCGGTGTTGCGGAACAACCAGCAGAGCCTTTCTGGGATGCTCTGAGTGAAGAGGGATGGCCCCAGGGGAGACTTTCTGGGGTGTCTCTGTTGGGGGACGTCCAGAGGCCTTCTAGGACGCTCTGAGTGCAGAGGGGTGGCCCCGAGGGACCCTTCTGTGTTGTTCTGTGTTGAGGAACCTTGCGGGGCCCAAGGGTGCCTATCCCGGGTGTCTCGGGTGAAAATGGGTCGCCCAGAGTGGCCTTTCTGCAGCGGCCCGGATGGAAGTGAATGGCCATAGGGAGCCTTTCTGGGGTGCCTGGGGTGGAACGCACTGCTGGGGTGCCAGAGATAAGGGACGGGTGACCCTGAGGAGCTTTGGTTAGGGGAGGGGAGGAGTGTGGCTGTGAGGGAGACTCCTGCGTGCTCTGGGTTCGGGGTCACCCGGGGGAGCCTTTCTGGGGTGCTCTAAGTGGAGAGGATGGCTCTGGGGGACCTTTCTGGGGTGTCCTGAGGGAGTGACCGAGGGTGCCTATCCAAGGTGACATGTGAGAATGGCTGACCCTGGGGGAGCTTTTCTGGGGTTCCGAGGGTGGGACACCCTCCTGGGGTGCCCAGAAGGGAGAAGGGTGGCCCCGAGGAGCCTTTCTGAGGTGCCCTGAGTGGGAGGAACACAGGAGAACCTTTCTAGCATGCCCAGGGTGGGGGACAGTGGGGATGCTGGGTGGGGGGGTTTGGCCCCAACCAGCTCTGTTGGAGGGGCACAGGTGGGGGACACTCTGTGGGGACATAGGGGAGCCTCTCTGGGGTGCAGGATCAGCTCCAGGATACCTTCCAGGGGTGCCCTGGAAGAGGGGGAATAAGACCAAGGGTGCCTTTCTGGGTTGGGGGATCAGCCTTGGGGGTTTCCTAGGGTGGGGAGGAATTGGGGTGCCTTGTGGCATGGAGGTCTCCCTGAAGATGTGGGAGCCTTTCTGGGGAGGGGGACCATCATGTGGCAGTGAGGTGGGGACAGGATCCCCCCAGCTGGAGAGGGGCAGCCCCAGGGGTGAGCAGATTGTGTGCCCTGGGGTGGAAGGGAGCAGCTCCATGGAAGGGAGGGCTGCCCTGGAGGTTTTTTGGGGTGCCCTGTGGAAGGTGAAGGGGCTCTGGTGTGTTGGCAGTGCCCTGGGTGACAGGAGATGGGTCTGGGGTGCTTTGTGAGGAGGGGATATCCTGGGAGGTGCCTTTCTGGGATCCCCTGCAGCAGCGAGGTGGGGACAGAGCTGCTCCATGTGTAGGGGACAGTGGGGTGCTGAGCCTGGATGGGGAAGGGGCACCATCCCACCCCGGGGGGCACCCCGCTGTCCCTCAGGCTTTGTGTGTGTGGGTGGCAGCGAGCGGGGCTGAGAACCACGTGCTCAGACCTTGGAGCTGCAGCAAAACCAAGACCATCAGTAAAATCTGGGCTTTCCCAAAAGCCCAGGTGCTTCCTGAGAGCTCTCAGTGTCCCCGGGGGGGCCCTGTGGCGTGGGGCCCTTGGCTGTGCTGTGCTGTGCACCCCGGGGCCAGCAGTGGGGTACAGCCATGGGATGCACAGGAGGCTCTGGCTCAAGGAATTACTGACGGGTTGTCTTGCATTCTGCCCTGGGTAAAAAAAGGCAGCAGAGTGCAGGGGGACTCATCTGTCGAGGTCCCTCTCTGAGGGGCCACTGTGCTGTAGAGAGGGGTTCTTGGTTCCCTCTCTGAGGGGACAGTGTGATAGGGAGAGCAGTGTGGGTAGGAGTGGGGTCCTTGGTCCCTCTCTGAGGGGACAGCGTGGCCTGAAGGGGGGTCCTTGGTGCTGTGGCTGGTGCAGGAGCCGGCACATCCTGCTTGGCTGACGGGGCAGTTGGTGGAAGAAATGCCATTGATAACAACCCTCGGTAACGACCTGCCTCGCCCAGAGCAGACCCGCGGGGAGGGGAGGACGGTTGCAGTGTAGGTCCTCTTATCTTGATCCCAAATTTATCTCGACCGATGCTTTGTGCAATCCAACGGCAACCTGATAAGGCGTCTGACCTCGCCGGAGCTTGGCTTGGTGAGTCAGGGAGAGTGCTGGAGGGGCAGCTTCACCCCTGCCCAGCCTCAGTGGCCTCGGCGCCCTGGATTTAGGGAAGTGGCCGGAGCTGTTTCCTCCCGCTGCTGCAGCCGGGTGCTGCCCGGCGAGCACAGAGGGGAAATGCTAACTCAGGCCTTGCAGGAGCAGAGCACAGCCCGGGCAGGCTGCAGCAGGGACGCAGACTGTTTTCCAGGCTGCAGCGTGGGTCATTGCCAAGGCGGGGGCTTCCCCGGCGCCCACCTCGGCTGACCACAGAGTGACCATTGGTGGTGGCAAACCCACCGGATCCGGCCGTGCCGGGGCTGCCGGCTTCCCTCGATCACGCTGCAGCGAGAGATGTTGTGTGGGAGCGGGGTGTCTCGTCCGGTGGCAAACCCGTGCTCAGATCAGAGGAAACGCTGTGAAACCGCAGCCTCGGGGCGGGGGAGACACCACGAGTTGCTATCGTGGCATCTTCCCACCGCGGCCGCAGCCCCGGGTGCTCCCACGGGCGCCCCGGGTGTCCCTGCCTGCTCGCCAGCTCTTTTATGGGCTCCAGCTTCCCGACGCAGTGGGGAGGAAGGCTGAGAGTCTCTTTGCTGCCTGTCTCAGCCTGTCTGGCAGTGCTGGCCCAGAATCCCTGCCCCAGGCGCCTGTGCTGGAGCAGCCCGGCGTGCTCGTGATCTGCCCCGCGGGGCCAGAGATGAGCAGCTGGGCCTTTGCAGCCATGGGGCTGCAGGCGTGGGCAGAATGGTCTGGGGTGAGCTCCCATGGCCCCGCTGGGGAGAGCACGGAGTCCCCAGCACCCCTCTGACTCAGTGCAGTCACCCCTGGGCACTTGGGGTACGTGGCTGTTGGGGTGCAGCCCTGTGTCAGATGGGCACAGCTCCACGGGGTGGCCAGTGGGGTGACCCTGGTGTGGACACTGCCTGCCCCAGGGGGTCACAAGGAGGGGGTGACACTCCTGTGGTTGTGTGGGTGGCGATGGCTCATGGGTGGGCACAGGAGCTGCTCTGGGGCTGCAGCAGCCAGGTCCCACAGCTCCTGCCCCAGTGCTCTCCTCAGAGCCCTCACAGCCCAACAGGGCTGCAGAGCCTGACCCTGTGGGGCCCTGGGAGCCTCACGCCTCATCTGGGCCCCCTTAAAACCCAGGGAACAGAGAGGATCTGGGCTGGTTTGAGCCTTCATGGACCTTCCCGTGCCTGTAGTTTGTCTGGGGCACAGAGTCCCTCTGTCCCTCAGAGGTCCTGGAGCACCAGAGCTGAGCACTGTGAGCCAGTGTGAGGACCCAGCACCCCTTGGGGATGGATGGGGCTGGGCTGGCGTGGTCACTGCTACCCTTGGCTTTGCCCTTGGCTTTGTCCTGGCATGCACGGCTGTGCTGTGCAGGAGCAAGGAGGAGGAGGAGGAGGAGGAAATCTCCTTCATGGGTGGGAGGAAGAGGAATCACTCATGAGGAAGAGAGGTTCTTGCAAAGTGGAGAGGGTACCTTGGGGACCTGGCCAAGTAGGCTCCCCTCAGCTGTAGGAACAGCTCTTCATCAGCACACAGTGAAGCTGGGAACATGTAAGACAGTACAGGGGGACATGTGGGACAGAGCACCAGGCTCTGTGTCGGGGCCTGGCGGTCTGTGGAGCTGTTGGCAGATAGGCTCTGTAACTCTGGGAAAGGGGAGGGCGAGGCCAGGCTGGCCTGTGTGCCCCACGCAGGGTCCCTGTATGCAGCGTCCCCACGCTGAGTCCCTGTGCTGTCCTGCCACAGCAGAGGGAGGAGCCTGGCTCTGGCGTCCCTGACTCAGCGGGCCCTTCCCGGAGCCCCCATGGCTCTGTGTCACCCTGTCACACTGCGGGTGATGTCTGAGCGTGGTGGAAGCATGGCTGTCTCTGCCAGCCCCACGGGAGAGGGACGTGGAGACAGACGGGGTGCCAGTGCCCGTGGCACAGCCAGAGCCCTCCCTAGGGTGCCATATCACCATGGGCAGCAGCAGGGAGGGGTTATCTGACTGGATATCTGCACCTGGGGACAACAAACCTGCTGGTGCCTGTGGGTGTGACACTGAGGGTCTGTCATGGTATCTTGAGGGGACAGAGCAGTGCTGGGGAAGGACCTTGACCTGGGGGGTGTCTGTCTGTGCTGGGTGCCAGAGGGAAGGACATTCCCTGTGCAGGATGGGCTGAAGGAATGTCTGGAGCTCCACGTGTCCCATCTGGCTGGGGAAGGAGCCCCAGGGTAGAAGGGGTAGAACCTGTCCTGGCGAGGGCTGTGTGTGTCACGTTGGAGTCCCAGCCTCTCACTGCTCCACTTTCTCTGCAGGCACCACCTGTGTCCTTGTGTCCTTTCCCTTTGTCTTCAGCCCCTGCCTGGCCTGCAGGGAAAGCACTCCACAGTGGGCAGCCTTCATCTACTACCTCCCCTTCATCATCATCTTCCAGTTTGGCTGGGCAGCCACGCAGGTGTCCCACCTGGCCCTCATCCCCGAGCTGGTCAGCAGTGACCATGGGAAGGTGGAGCTCACGGCTTTCAGGTGAGCACAGCCACACCTGGGCTTGGGGGAGCTGCCCTGGGTCCCATCACCGTGTGACACGAGGTCCCTGGGTGCTGTGGCACACCAGACACCTTGGCATGGCAGGACAAGGACTGGGCCATGTGGGTGTCCTGTGGGATGTGCCAAAGGACTCTGGTCCTGGGTTGGTGGCCCAAAGCCTTTGCTGCCAGGGGGAATGTCTTGATGCCAGGCATGTCAGTGTCACAGCCTGTGGGACACTTCCCTGAGCTGGGGACACTTCTCCTTTGGGAATGGACCGTGGCATTTAGGGGAGGGACTGTCCCTCCCAGATGCCCTCAAGGAGAGCTGGACACGGCTCTGGAGGTGAGATGTCTCCAGGGCCAGGTGGGCAGTGCACTTGGCTCATCCCTGTCAGGGTCAGGACGTGGGATGGGATGTTTATTCCATGGAGCAGGATGTTTATTCCATGGAGCAGGGAGGATGTGGGGTAACTGTGGGTCCAAGTGGTCCCACTCGGGGGGTACCAGGTCAGGCAGCTCCTGGCATTCTTGAAGCAGAGGTGAGCTGTGTCTGGAGGGGGAACAGACTCAGACTGACCTGTAGGGATGTTGATTTCCTCCTAGTCATGCCCCGAGGCTTGGACTGGGCACACTGGGAGTGGCAGCAGTAAGGCTGAGGCCTGGCCAGGTGCCTTGTGCCCTCAGAGGTGTCACCTCAGCCATGACTCTGGGGTGCAGAGGCCGTAGCACATCTGGCTTGGAGGGCAGCCGTGGGCAGAGGTGTCCTGCTGTGCTGTCCCCCTGCTTGTCCCTCTGCATGGCCCCAAGGTTTCCTTCTGCTCAGGTATGCCTTCACTGTCATGGCAAACATCACCGTGTACGGCCTGACCTGGCTCCTGCTGAACTTCCAGACGGACCAGCCCGACCGCATGGAGCACCTGGGCCCTCAGGACATCCCTGTGTTTCGGGTGAGTGGCAAGGCACAGTCCCTGGGGTTCCCTCTTCTCATGGCTCAGCTGGGGAGGTACTGGAGGGAGTCAGGGAGCAGTGCCCTAAAACCTCACCAACTGGGCCAGAGCCACATGAGCCCTCCGTGGGGTTTGGGCACCCCTCCTTACCCTCCAGACTGCTGGGGGCTGATGGTGAGGTGCCCCCACTGCTGTGCTCACCCCCATTGCCTCACCAGAACTTGGCCCTCATCGTGGTGGGGCTGGGGGCCGTGTTCTCCCTCATCTTCCACCTGGGCACCAAGGAGAAGCCGTACCCAGCCGGGGTGCTGCCCGAGCCAGAGGAGAGCACCCCGCTGCTGCACAAGGAGCCCCCGGGCCCCCCGCGCCCGCTGCTGCTCTGGAAGGACTGGCTGCTGGAGCCCTCCTTCTACCAGGTACGGCTGGGCAGGGCCCCCCTGGCCTGGGCTGGCTGCTGGAGCCCTCCTTCTACCAGGAACAGCTGGGCAGGACTCCCCTGGCCTGGGCTGCTGCCACGGGGCTTGCCTAGGAGCGGATGGGGATGGAGAGGGGAGCTCGTCTGGGCACCCATCCACCCTCTCAGAGGGGCCATCCCCTTCCTGCTGGGCACCTATGCCATGACAGCTGGGCAGGGCAGGTCCTTCCCACAGGCTGAGCGGTGATGCCCTGGCCCTGTCCCCTCCCAGGTCGCAGTGCTCTACATGGCCACCCGCCTCATCGTCAACCTGTCCCAGACCTACATCGCCATGTACCTGACCAACTCGCTGCTGCTCTCCAAGGTGGGTGCAGGGCAGGTCTGGGGCCACGTGGGAAGGTGTCCTGATGTGGCCTGGGGCTCATCTCCCTGTCCTTGTCCCTTGCAGAAGTACATTGCCACCATTCCCCTAGTGATGTACGTCAGTGGGTTCCTCTCCTCATTCCTCATGAAGCCTGTGAACAAATGGATTGGTCGGAATGTGAGTCCAGAAGAGGTTGGAGTTTGACCCCAGGAAAGGACCAGGGGTCTAATCCTGCCTGTGAGCAAAGCTCCTGGCACACCTGAGCTGGAGAGCAGGGACCCCTCACGGACCCTCTGCCAGCAACCACCCACTGCAGCATGGGTCCTGCTGGGACTGGGTGGTGGGCAGGTTTGGGGATCTGGGTCCTGCTGGGACTGGGGGGGTGGGCAGGGATGGTGGCAGGAGCCTGTCTTGTACATCTCTCAGGCTGGGGAAGGCAATGCTGGCCCAGAGTTACCATGTCCATGCAGGCCTGACTGGGCTGCAGAGCCCTGTGGTGCCCATCAGGGGCAGAGGGGAAGTCTGGTCACACTGGCCTGGGTGGGCACACGGTCTGCAATGCCAGCAGGAGGGACCTGCTCCCCCAGAGTGTCCCCTCTGTGCTGTTGGGTACCAGTGGAGTGTTCCTCCCTCACAGACACGCTCCCACAACTCCCCTTGGGGCTCAACCCTTGGGCTGCAGAACAGCCTGGAACCCAGCAAGGACCTGCTTTTGGGGTCTCCTTGTTTAAATACAGCTTGGACAGAGCCAGGGCTGTCCCTCATGGCTCCTGGGCAATGCTGGCCTCATGCCCTGCCTGCTCCTGCTTGCTCCTCCCTCACCAAGTGCCAGCTGATGTCTGAACTCCCCCTTCTGCCTGTCCCCATCACAGCTGACTTACTTTGTGGGCATCCTGGTGGTCCTGGCCTTTGCCTCCTGGGTGGCCCTGGCCAGGCAAGTAGGAGACGAGATCTACGGGCTGGCAGTGCTGCTGGGGGCCGGCTCAGCCACCATCCTGGTCACCTCCCTGTCTATGACTGCAGATCTCATCGGCACCAACACGGTACGGCCGCTGCTGGGATGGGGCGGGGGCCACGGTGGGCACAGAACCCACGGGCTGGAGCGGGCACTGCTCAGGGTTAGGGGGTGGAGGCGCTGGGAGGGGGCTCTGCTGGGCCCCCGTGCCCTGCTGCTCTGCTGCAGTGAGGGCTCTGCCCATCAGAGGGCACACGGGGCTGCCTGGCCCAGCACGGCACAGGTTCCCTCTCCTCCCGCAGCACAGCAGCGCGTTTGTCTACGGTGCCATGAGCTTCACAGACAAGATGGCCAATGGCCTGGCTGTGATGATGATCCAGAACCTGCACCCCTGCCCGTAAGTGTCTCTGCAGAGCTGGGACCCCCTTGCCTGGGGGCCATGAGGGAACATTTCAGAGTTGGAGCAGGAGACATGGAAGGGAACCAGCTTAGATTTGTAGAATCACACAATGGTTTGGATTGCAAGGGAGCCTAAAGCTCATCTCCTTCCACCCCCTGCCATGGGCAGGGACACTTTTCACTACACCAGGTTGCTCCAAACCCTGTCCAACTTGGACTGGCACACTTCCAGGGATAGGGCAGCCACAGCTGCTCTGGGCACCCTCCCAGGGAACAATTCCTGCCCAATATTCCATCCAGCCCTGCCCTCTAGCAGTGGAAGCCATTCCCTGTGTCCTGTCCCTCCATCCCTTGTCTCAAGTCCTTCTCCAGCCCTCCTGGAGCCCCTTTAGGCACTGGAAGGGGCTCTGAGCTCTCCCTGGAGCCTTCTCTTGTCCAGCTCTGATTTGTCTTAAAGTCTTCTTCATCTTCTCTCCCAGCCGTGGGGGGACCCAATCTGTACCTGGGGATATCTTTGCCCTGGGCCTTTCCCTCCCACCCCAGTGCAAACCAGTCCTGACTCTGATGTGAGGACATGGGACCACTGCCTGTAGCCTGGGACCTCTGTCCCGGCCTCCAAGCACATTCCTGCCTGTCCTCACAGGACCGAGCTCTGCTGCCCTGCCTGTGTCGACTTCTACCGCTGGGTGATGGTGCTGGTCACCGGCGGCATCGCCGTGGCCGCTGTCACCACGCTGTGCTCCATCATGGTGTGGCCCATCCGGATCCGCTGCCGTGAGTGGGGCTGGGGGCTTGGGGGCAGCCCAGTGTGGGGCTGGGGGCACTGGGAGCCCTGCTCAGTGCCAGCCTGGGCTAAAGGCACAGTCTGTGCAGTGGGGGAGCGGTGGGAGCACTGTCAGTACTGGGCTGGCTTGCAGCCATGCTTGCAGGGGAGCCCTCATGGCAGGACACAGGGCAGGGCCGTTGTCCAACTTCCCTGCTGCCCCCAGAGAGGGGCTGTGTTTGCTTGCTGTGCCCTTCTGGGGGGCAACATCCCCCTGGCCCAGTCATGGCCATGCTGGTCTCAGGGCTCCAAGGGGTGTCAGGGTGTGGCAGCAAATATGGCAGCAAATGTGGGGATGGTGGGGAGCCAGCACCTCTGTTCAGTGCCTGTTCTGCCTCTTGGGGTGCCAGTGCCTTGCTGTGGGGTGGGGGAACAGGACAGACCCCTCGTGCTGCTGGGGGCCCTGCTGGGTCAGGCCCCTGGTGCTACAGAAGAGTCCAGGAGGGCCAGGCCAGCACTTGAGGGTCACCCACACTGCCATCTCTCCTGACCTGTCCCTTCCTCCTCTTCCTCCAGGTGCTGTGGGCCTGGAGGGGCTGATCAGCACAAGGACCCCTGAAAGCGTCACTGCGAGCACTGAGGGAGAGAGCCAGACCGTCAACTGAGTGGGGCTGTGTCCTCGGCCTCCGTGTCCCCAGGGCTGTCTCCTCAGGGCTGTGTCCTCGGCCCCGCGGTGCCACACTCTGAGTCTGGAGGGTGCCCGCACTGGGGGCCACTGGGCTCTGGCGAGGGGGTGACCCCAGCCTGTCTCCTTGCACTGGACTCTATTCCCACCCTGACCTCACGTCCCCATCCCGGACTCCGGTGTCCCCGGCCCCGCCGGGCCCATGAAGGCTGTCCCCGGTGCGGTGTCACGGTGCAGGGCCACCTGTCACCTCTCACCTGCACAATGAACACTAAACGGGCCTAGGCCAGGCCGGGGCGGCCCCAGAAGAGGGGAGCGCTCGGCCCGAGGTTTTACCTGCTTTTGTAAGGTCAATACGTACAGACGGCACTTTATAAAGGAGGAGAAAAAGGAGAGAAATAAACCAACCGCAGCGCTGACGGCCCGGGATGGGGGTGGGCTCCGCTCTGGGGTGCGGGAGCCGCAGCTGGGGTTGGAGCAGGTCTGGGGGGTTCGGGCACAGGAGCGGCCTGAGGGGGCCCGGCCCCTCAGCGGCCATGGCGGCCCCGCGCGCGGCGCTGCGGGCAAGGGATTGGTCCGTGCGCGGGGCCCCGCCCCCGGGGCGGGACAGCCAATGGGGGCGGCCCGTGCGCGGAGGGGGCGGGGACTGGGAGAGTGTGAATGGGAGAGTGTGAGAGTGTGTGAGTGTGTGTGAGTGTGTGTGATGTGAGAGGGGGGGTGGGGGGGGTGTGTGAGTGTGTGTGACCGTGTGTGTGTGACCGTGTGTGTGTGTGTGTGTGTGTGTGAGTGTGTGAGTGTGAATGGGAGAGTGTGAGTGATTGTGTGTGTGAGTGTGTGTGTGTGTGTGAGTGTGTGTGATGTGAGAGTGTGTGTGTGTGTGACCGTGTGTGTGTGTGTGTGTGTGAGTGTGTGTGAGTGTGTGTGTGAGTGTGTGTGTGTGTGTGAGTGTGTGTGAGTGTGTGTGTGTGTGAGTGTGAGTGTGAGAGTGTGAGTGAGAGTGTGAGTGTGTGTGTGTGAGTGTGTCTGTGTGTGTGTGACCGTATGTGAGAGTGTGTGACCGTGTGTGTGTGTGTGTGTGTGAGAGTGGGTGTGTGAGTGTGTGTGTGAGTGTGTGTGAGCGTGTGCGTGGGAGTGTGCGTGTGTGTGTGTGAGAGTGTGTGTCCGTGTGTGTGTGTGTGTGTGTGAGAGTGGGTGTGTGAGTGTGTGTGTGAGTGTGTGTGAGCGTGTGCGTGGGAGTGTGCGTGTGTGTGTGTGAGAGTGTGTGTCCGTGTGTGTGTGTGTGTGTGTGAGAGTGGGTGTGTGAGTGTGTGTGTGAGTGTGTGTGAGCGTGTGCGTGGGAGTGTGCGTGTGTGTGTGTGAGAGTGTGTGTCCGTGTGTGTGTGTGTGTGTGTGAGAGTGGGTGTGTGAGTGTGTGTGTGAGTGTGTGTGAGCGTGTGCGTGGGAGTGTGCGTGTGTGTGTGTGAGAGTGTGTGTCCGTGTGTGTGTGTGTGTGTGTGAGAGTGGGTGTGTGAGTGTGTGTGTGAGTGTGTGTGAGCGTGTGCGTGGGAGTGTGCGTGTGTGTGTGTGAGAGTGTGTGTCCGTGTGTGTGTGTGTGTGTGTGAGAGTGGGTGTGTGAGTGTGTGTGTGAGTGTGTGTGAGCGTGTGCGTGGGAGTGTGCGTGTGTGTGTGTGAGAGTGTGTGTCCGTGTGTGTGTGTGTGTGTGTGAGAGTGGGTGTGTGAGTGTGTGTGTGAGTGTGTGTGAGCGTGTGCGTGGGAGTGTGCGTGTGTGTGTGTGAGAGTGTGTGTCCGTGTGTGTGTGTGTGTGTGTGAGAGTGGGTGTGTGAGTGTGTGTGTGAGTGTGTGTGAGCGTGTGCGTGGGAGTGTGCGTGTGTGTGTGTGAGAGTGTGTGTCCGTGTGTGTGTGTGTGTGTGTGAGAGTGGGTGTGTGAGTGTGTGTGTGAGTGTGTGTGAGCGTGTGCGTGGGAGTGTGCGTGTGTGTGTGTGAGAGTGTGTGTCCGTGTGTGTGTGTGTGTGTGTGAGAGTGGGTGTGTGAGTGTGTGTGTGAGTGTGTGTGAGCGTGTGCGTGGGAGTGTGCGTGTGTGTGTGTGAGAGTGTGTGTCCGTGTGTGTGTGTGTGTGTGTGAGAGTGGGTGTGTGAGTGTGTGTGTGAGTGTGTGTGAGCGTGTGCGTGGGAGTGTGCGTGTGTGTGTGTGAGAGTGTGTGTCCGTGTGTGTGTGTGTGTGTGTGAGAGTGGGTGTGTGAGTGTGTGTGTGAGTGTGTGTGAGCGTGTGCGTGGGAGTGTGCGTGTGTGTGTGTGAGAGTGTGTGTCCGTGTGTGTGTGTGTGTGTGTGAGAGTGGGTGTGTGAGTGTGTGTGTGAGTGTGTGTGTATGAGTGTGTGAGTGTGTGTGTGACTGTGTGTGACTGTGTGTGTGTGTGAGTGTGTGTGTGTGACCTCACATGTGTGCTCTGTGTGTACCCTGCGTGTCCCTGTGTGTGTGACCACGCGTGTGTCCGTAGCTGACAGGTGCACGATGCTGTGTTTGTGTGTGTGTGTGTCCGTACCTGAGCGTGCCCGACGCGTGTGCAGGGCTGTGCTGTGCACACACCGGCTGTGAGCAGGAGCGTGCCGGGGGTTTCTCCATAACCCCTGGGATGGTTTGGGCTGGGTGGGACCTCAGAGCCCACCCAGTGCCACCCTGCCATGGCAGGGACACCTCCCACTGTCCCAGGCTGCTCCCAGCCCTGTCCAGCCTGGCCTTGGGCACTGCCAGGGATCCAGGGGCAGCCACAGCTGCTCTGGGCACCCCAAGCCAGGGCCTGCCCACCCTGCCAGGGAACAATTCCTGCCCAATCTCCCACCCAGCCCTGCCCTGTGGCACTGGCAGCCATTCCCTGGCTCCTGTCCCTGCAGGCCTTGTCCCCAGTCCCTCTGCAGCTCTCCTGGAGCCCCTTCAGGCCCTGCCAGGGGCTCTGAGCTCTGCCTGGAGCCTTCTCTTGTCCAGGGGAGCAGCCCCAGCTCTGCCAGCCCGGCTCCATGGCAGGGTTCTCCCGGCCCCGGTCCGTGCCCTGCTCCGCACGCTCAGCCCGGTGTGTGCCCAGAGGACTCGAGCGTGGGTCAGGGGGCTGCAGGGGGCCGGGGGAGTGACAGGGCGAGGCCACGGGCAGGGGGGACTCCCCGAGTGCGGGGGAATGGAAGGGGATCCAGGCGGGAGCCCGGGCGTGCGGGGTGCAGCGAGGTGTCCCGCCTCGGCCCGGCCCGGCCCGGCCCGGCTTTACGGCGTTTCCCCGCTGCGTTATCAGCCCCGGTCCAGAGAGCAGGGGCCGAGCCGGGCTGGGCCCGCGGCCTTCGCACCTGCCCAGGGCCCGCGGTCCCGGCTCTGCCCAGCGCCCCCCGCCCGCCTGTGCCCCCTCGGGCGCCAGGGCAGAGCCCCCGGCCGGGGCGGGCGCTGCCGTGCGGTGTCCGGCACTGCGGGGTGTGCCGGGTTTGCGGGGTGCCCATGGATTGCGGGGTGCCCATGGACTGCGGGGTGTGCCGGGTTTGCGGGGTGCCCGCTGTGAAATGCCACAGGATCGCAGAGTGCCGCGGGCTGGGCTGTGCCGCTCCGGTTGTCAGCACTGCTGCAGTTTGCAGCTGGTTTGGGGGCAGCTGGCTGGTCCCGCACCCCCGGGGCCGGGCTGGGGCTCACCCCGGGCTGTCTCGGGCTGGGGCTGCCCCGGCCGCTCCCTGCGAACCTGCCGCGGCCGCCCGGCCCCGCCCGCTGCCCTTCCTCGGGAGGAGGAGGAGGAGGAGGAAGAGGAGGAGGAGGTGGCAGCGGAGCAGGAGCGGCGCTGGAAGCAGTGGGAGCGGGACAGATCCGCCGGGACGGGGCCCGGCTGTGCCCCCCAGCAGGTACCGCGCGGGGCCCGCCCGGGACGGGGGTCTGGGGCCGCAGCCGCCTTCCCGTCCCCTCTGGAGCCAGACCGGCCGCCACCCGCGCCGGCACCCCCGGCTGGGGCTCGCTGTCCCCGCCACCCGCCGGTACAGGGGTCACCCTTCCCCGTCACCCCGCTGCCCACGGGGGTCGCAGCCAGCACATGATGCCATGGGACAGGCAGAGGGGTCATGAGGCCGGGTGAGCTCTGTTGTCCCGGTCCCGGGTGGCCTGAGCCGTGTCTCTGTGTCCTCCTCGGTGGAGTGACACGTTGGTGACACTGGGATCAGGTGCTGCAGGAATAGACCGTCCCCACAACGTGCCTCCTCTGCCCCGGCTGTCGCACCCATCCCTCATGCCGGGGAAGCTGAGGCGCAGCAGGCGGGAGGTGCTGGGGGAGAAGCAGTGGCGCAGCCTGGAGGAGAGGGGAGGTGCCCAGCTGGAGCAGCCCAAGCTCACCAGGTGGGTGCTGCCCCTCGTGGGGTCACATCCCGCACCCCAGCCCCCCATCCCACCTGTGCCCCTCGAGTCACCCCCTCCGATGCCTCCTTCCAGATCCAGGACCTATGAGTCCCCCTGCAGGGAGACAGAGCAGGCGGCCGCGGGCAGGCAGGGACCCCCATCCCCCTCGGTGAGTCTTGGGGTACCGCAGCTGAGGAGGAGGACCCCAGCCCCAGTCCCAGCCCCGTGGGCTCGGCTGGACGCTCTCTTGGGGCGGGGACCGAGGGAGGGCTCGTCCCGGTACCGTGGCAGGCGGGGCTGGAGCAAGGGGCTGCAGGATGCCCGCGGCCCCCAGCACCGACCCCAGCCCTCCCGCAGCTGAGCAAGCAGGACAGCAGCTACCGCCGGGCCTTCGGGGAGCTCGCCGAGCAGGACGTGCTGCTGGGCTGCTTCTCATGCGCCTGGCAGAGAGAAATGCCCTACCACGGCCGCCTGTACGTGTCCTCCCGCCACATCTGCTTCCACTCCAACCTCCTGCTCAAGGACATCAAGGTGGGGCTGGAGCGGGCGTGGGGCCGGCGGCGCAGGCAGGGGCACAGGTGGCAGTGGGGAACACGGTGACACAGCCTGTCCCCCCTGGCACAGGCCGTGGTCCCTGTCGCTTCCATCTCAGCCCTCAAAAAGACCAACACGGCGCTGCTGGTGCCCAACGCAATCAGCATCCGCACGGCCAAGGGGGAGAAGGTGAGAGCGGGGACAGTGCTGGGCAGCCTCAGCCGGGGCTGTCTCGAGTGCCTCGCTCCCCGCGGGCTCTGGGCCGGGACCGAGGGGGCAGCTCTGGCACAAATCCACAAATCCCCTTCTCGCTCCCCCGCAGTTCCTCTTTGTGTCGCTGCGCCAGCGAGAGGCCACGTACCAGCTCCTGAGGTCGGTGTGCAAACACCTGCAGGTACGCGGGGTCTGGATGTGGAGGAGACTCCATCCATCCATCGCACGGCACCTCCCTTCATCTCTCCTTGTCCAGGGCAGCGGCCAGAGCCCTCGAGACTCTGTGAGATATGAGAAAACTCTTGGAAAGTCTCAGGTAAGGCAGGGAATGGAGGGCAGGCGGGTACAACAGGAGGAGGGGTGGTCCCAGCCCCCTGGATGGGGTGGGCTGGGTGCAGTGGCTGGGAAGATGTGTGTGGGGGGGGAACATGAAAAGCCCCAGCCCGAGGCAGCACAGACCCCAGGACCCTCCCTTCTGTGGGTGACACAGGTCCCGTCAGGTCCTCCCATGTCCCCGCGGCAGTGGGGCAGGTACCTCGGGGACACACGTCATGACTGGGGCTTGTCCTCTTCCAGATCTCGAGCCAGTCAGCCCTGGAGCAGAGCACCCCGGAGCCCAACAGCCTCCCCGAGCCCCTGGGTGAGCGGCCCCGGTGCCCTCCTCGCCTGCCCACAGCCCTGCCCGCGTCCCGCCCGCATCCGTGCCCGCTGGCAGCTCTGGGCTCTGCTCCTCCCCAGACACGCAGGGTCTGGGGGGACCACGCGGCCTTCAGCCCCCCAGCCAGCATCTCCCACAGCTCCAGGGAGTGCAGGATCAGCACTTTGTGGCCCCGTGTGCCCCAGGACACACAGACCCCTCGCTGGGGCATTCATCGAGTGTCTCTGGTCACCTGCAGATGAACCAAAGCCGGGATCAAGGCAGGCAGAGGACGAGGATGGCGAGGTGGCTCGGCTGGTTCCCAGCAGCAGCAAATGGGTGCCCTCAGCAGAGAGACGTGGCCTCTGGGGTGGGTCAGGGGGCTCGGCATGGGGGGGATGGTCTGGGGGTTTACACCCTGGCAGAGCTGAGCATGGACTCTCAGTGCCACTAACACTGCCTTGTCCTGGCAGGGAGGCCCCACGCCGTGCTCTGGGCCTGGGCCACTGCACTTTGGTCCCGGATAAACCCCCAGCTGAGCTCTGTCAACATCATCATCATCATCTACCTGCTGATGTGAGTCCCCAGCACCTGCTCCCAGCCCCGGTCCCCATCCCTACTGACACGGGGTGGCCCTGGCAGGCCAGGGTTCCTACGTGACCCCAGGGTGAGCACACAGTGCCCGTGGCACTGCTCCTTGCCCCCTGTGCCACCCTGTGCCCCTGGCTGACGCCGGCCTGTCCCCAGCATGGTGGCCCTGCTGCTGTCCTCGGGGTACATCGGGCTGCGCATCGCCGAGCTGGAGCAGCAGCTGTCCTTCGCGGGGGCTGGGCCAGGCCTCAACCTGTCACTGCAGTGAGTGGGGGGCGTGGGGGGCTCTGTCCCCAGCAGGGACTCCTCCTCACCCTGCCTCCCCCCAGGTACCAGACGTGAGGCCACTGAGGACCACCACCAGCGCTCCAGCCGGGGCTCAGGGGCTGCTCTGAGCCCTGCCTTGGCCTCTCGGGGGGCTCCGTCACCAAGTGCCTTCCAGCTCCCCACCATGCCCGGGAAGCCCACGGGCTGAGAGGCTCCATCTCTCCCTGTCTGCCCACCCTGAGCAGCAGCAGAAGAGACCCAGGGAGCTCCCAGAGGCGCAGAAAGCAGGGAAGGGGGGCTGGAGTCAGCAGCAACCCCCAGCCAGCCCTCCCTGCCCAGAGGGAGCAGGCAGAGGGGGCCAAGCCCCCGGCAAGGCAGGGGCACAGAGAACAGAATATTCTATTAATAAAGATTAATAAAATCTGTATTATATTAATATTTATTATTTGCTGGGCCAGATGCCACAGGATGAGCATGAACAGTCCCCCATGCACCCCGTTTCCCAGGACACACCAGGACACAGCAGGACCAGGGGCTTTGATTCTGACTGGTGTGGGGAGGCAGCTCCAGGTGCTGATGGCCCAGGGGTCCAGGGAGCAGCAGAAGACCCTGAGCAGCTCCCCGGGGCCCTGGTTGCTGCTGACAGTGGGAGACAGAGGGGAAAGGGGTGGTGAGGGGGGCACCAGGGAGCCCCAGGGCCTGGCCAGCTGCAGGCCCTGGCTCTTACCCTGCTCCTTCCCTGGGATGGGGCTCACCCGACAGGAAGGTGTAGGGTCACAGGTACACAGCGGGGACAATGGGTTCCCACAGGTTCTGAGCATAAACTGGGGGTGGGAGCAGAGCTGGGGGCACAGCAGAACTTGCATCCCACAGAAGGATCCACCCAGCCCAAAGCCCTGGAGCTTAATCCCTTCCTAGGCCAGTTAAGGGACCCTGGGTGTTTCCCCAAGAACCAAGATGGGGAATGCAGGCACTGGCAGCTCCTTTCTCTCCCCACAGAAGGACCCACCCAGCCCAAAGCCCTGGAACTTAATCCCTTTCTAGGCCAGTTAAGGGACCCTGGGTCCCCAAGAACCAAGATGGGGAATGCAGGCACTGGCAGCTCCTTTCTCTATGCCATTTCCTGGGCCATCCCTTCCTCAGATCCACAGCTCAGCTCCGTGCCTGGGGCAGCAGCAGTGGGGGATGCCAAGGTCAGGGATCCTCCCTCTCCTCGTCCTGCTGCTCAGCCCCATGGAGCAGCTCTGCCCCACACCACCCAGCCCGGGGGTCTCCAGCAGCAGGCCTGGTCCCTGCAGCCTCAGTCCCTGGGGGAGGGAGCTGCCAGGGTTCCACGTCCCTCCCAAGGGCTGGAATGAGGCACAGGGCTGTACCCCACTGGAGAGGTGCCCAGGGAGGGGGTGCCCCCCCGTGAGGGTCCCACCTGCATGGGGACAGCAGGACTGAGGGGCTGTGCACCCCCAGCCCCACTGCAGCTACACCCCAGCAGCTGCCCCACGGCAAGGAGGGGCCGTGCCAGGCCAGGGACCCCTTTTCCTCCTTCCTGCCATGCCAAGGGGCACATGGCAGGGCAGGGATGGGGCTGTGCCCTTTCCCCGCAGCACGAAAGCAAACAGGAGCGGGAGGCTGGGAGCAATAAACTGCAGGTGAGATCTGTGCCAAGAAAGCTGGTACCCGGCAGATGTGGGGTGGGGACTCTGGTGACTTGCTGCACCCTTTGCTGTGGAGAAGCAAAGTGGAGCCATGGAGACCAATCCCAGTAAATTCACAACCTGTTTAATGCCAGTTCAATTGCTTTACATGAAAAAGTTACAGCGTGCTCCACGTTTGTTTTCCATCACATGACACCTGGGATACAACGATGCCACAGACTTTGTCACCCAGCTCTGGGAGGATCCTGTGCCCCAGCCAGTGCCCACGGGTCACACACACTGACACATCACCCCAGATCTGCCCTTTTCTCTCTTGAGCAGCCAGTGACAGTGACAGGAGCACCCTGAGACACTTGCACACACCCACCTCCACACGGATACAACTGGGAGCCCCTGCCTGGCAGCAGGGCAGAGAAGGTGACAGGGCTGACAGCAAGGTCAGGGGGAGCAGCCTGTTCCTGCCATGCTCTGTCACCAACACGTGTGGCCACAGAACAGCCCTGGCCTGGCAATCACTAACCCTGGCCTGGCAATCACCAGCCTCCCTGCCAAGTGCAGTAAGGGAAGATACCATGAGCCAACCTTCTACCAAAGCAGACAGAAAAGCGAGATGTGGACACGAGATGCAGTTTGGGAAAGTCCTTGGCAAGAAGGGACAGTGGTAGGGGACAGAGCAATGAGGAGCTATCCCTGCTCTGGGAACACCAGGCAGCAGCTGCAATGCCCACCTGGCACTGCCCACCCCACATCACTGCCACTCCCCCCAGCAACTTCTGGGACTCCTTAAGGAAGTTCTCCCAGCACAGGGGGAGAGGCAATTCCACTCTCCAGTGGAGCCCCAGGGCACTGAGGAGCCCAACCATACACTCCAGCTGGCTGTCCTGCTCCAGAATGGGCTGAGACCTCCTGTGCACCCCCAGCCCAGGCACCCACACCCTCCCAGAGGAGAAAGCCGTGTGTCCTGGGGGTCTGCACAGTGATATTAGCAGGAGGCAATCCACAACAGGAAAAGCCAGAGCACTGCCACCAGCCTCGCCAGCCCCCTGAACAGCCCTTTCCCCAGGTGATGACACCCCCAACAGACCACCTCTTCCTTTACTTCAAACAGATCACCCTTTACTTCAAACCCATTCCCCAGCTGAATGATCCTCCTCAACACCTCCTGGGTGCTTTGGGGTGCTCCCAACCCACGGTGATGTGGAACAGTGCCCACAAGTGGAACAAACAACACAAGACAGGCCGGGGGGCGACTTCAAACCATGCCTCACATCCCACGGCCACAGCTGCACTAAAGCAGTTGCACTCAAACAGTGTTTCAGAAACTCCATGGAAATTCCATTTTGGTGGCAAGTGAGACTGTGAGATGACAAAGTGGCCTGTGGGCCTGGGAGACTCGGAGCTGCCAGGGGGCTCCCAGCACCAGCTCCTCACCAGGGACTCCCAGAATGTGTGACACAGGCACAGCACCACCAGCCTGATCCAGGCACTGGTGTGATGGCACGTGTGGTCAAGGCTGTATTGGCCTTCTCACACCCTGGCTCACCCTAAGGATACTGGTGGTACTGGGGACAGGCAATCATATTCCTACCACCTGGTTTTAGAGAAAGAAGGGAGAGCAGACAAAACAACAAAGAAAAAAAAAGAAAGGGAAAGCATTACCTATGCAATCTACAGAGAGAAGACAAGTCTATATACACAGCCAGGGAATTCCACACGGGAACAGGAAGCAACGCTAGGAGAGGGCAGGAGGCAGGCAGGGCCTGGGCAGGCACAGAGGCACAGGTCAGATGGAACAGGCTGTGCAGCCTCACAGCTTCTCTTAAATTAAAAGCACCACACACACACAGAACATTTGTGTTACACCCCATGGGCTCCAACACCAGCCAGAACTCTCGTCCCACACAACCTAAAAACCCCAAACCACACACCAAAACTCAACAGCAGGGCCCTGTGTGGGACTTGGAGATAACAAAAAGCAGCGCTGCAGCCCTGCTTCAGCAGAACCCCTCTTCTAGCCAGAAGAGGCCCTGCTCACCCCAAAAATCAGATCTTTAGGATTTATTTTTTTTCTCAAACACATCCCAAATGCTTTTGGCCTCAGGGAGACTCCAGAGCAAGCACCCACACAGCAGCACCAAAGGAAGCTCCACATGCACAGGTGGTTGGGTGGGTTTCTTTTTTTATAAAGTCCTTGCCTCTGCTCTCTGGTAACTCCCAGGATCAGCCCTGAACATGAAATAGCAACTGCAGAACTTCCCAAATCTGCTCCCTTAGAGGTGAAGCTTTTTCAAGTCTCCTCCAAAGTCTAGAGCCCCAAAGTGTGTTTGTTCAGAGGCAGCTGTCAAGCATGCCCAAAAAAAATCAAGGTGTCTTATGGAATGATCATGTCAAGTACTACAGTACCTGTCTGGGGGGAAAAATAAAGGAAAAAAAGGAAAATAGGCAGTTCTCCAGTTTCTTCCTGGAATGGGGATGCCAGGCTATGAACAAAGCCCTTAGATGCCCAGCCTGGAGCTGTGCCCCTCGCACCAGCTGTACCGGACCAGTCTGGCTGGCTCCTGCCTCCAGAGATGCCACTCTGGGGCACAGGGCAGCACGTGAAACCCCTCCCACAGCAGCAAGGACATGCTCCTCTCTCGCAGGAGGCACACCATGGCAGTGGGGATGGCCTGGGTCCAGTCTCAATGGTCCATGTCACACGAGTCCTGCCCAGTACCATCCTGACAGCTGGAGGATGCTGGGTTAACATTTCTCTTGTACCCGTTTCCCTTTATGAAGGATGAATCCAATAACCTTTGGCAGTTCCCTCCCCTCCCCACCCCATCCCAAATACTGCCCAGCCCTGTGGGTCACAAGCACATATTTAATGAGCTGGGTCCTCCTGCAGTCCCACGGCTCTCCCTCCCCTTGGCTGGGCTCTGGAGGTCCATGCACGCCGAGGGAGCAGTCTGATCCTGGAATGTCAGGCTGTAGGTTCCCGGGCCACAGGGAGGGGGTTTATCGTATCCTGGTGAAGAGGTTGAGCACAGATACAGACTCCTGGCAAGGGAAGACAAAGCAGAGGGTAAATAGCTGTTACTCCACCTGCTTCTGGGTTGGTTTGTTTTTAATCTGGTATCTCTAGCTCAGCGCATGATTCCAGCTCACAAATCAAAGTCCAACACCATAAATATTCCCATGGGTTTCTTCCAGTTGGTAACATCTGGCAGCTGGCCAGAGTGCCATTCCCAGCACTCTGCAGGCAGCTGTACTCCAGAAGAACTGGGGAGCCCCCAGGAGCAATGCCAGCTTGCCCAGCCCCCTCCTCCAAATCCCTCTGCCAGGCACCCAAGAAAGCTCTCAGAGCATCAGACACAAGCTGCTTTTGGTGATGCCGAGTTGTCACCGGCAGAATCCATGAGCCCATTTTCATCCAAACCCCAATTTTCAGCAGTTCTGTAAAGAGGCAGGGGATAATCATGGAATCACAGAATGGTTTGGGCCTCAAGGGACCTTGAAGTTCATCACCTTCCACCCTCTGCCATGGGTTGCTCCAAGCCCCATCCAGCCTGGCCTGGAATATTTCCAGGGATCCAGGGGCAGCCACAGCTACTCTGGGCACCCTGTGCCAGGGCCTGCCCACCCTCCCAGGGAACAATTCCTGCTCAATATTCCATCTAACCCTGCCCTCTGGCACTGGGAAGCCATTTACCCTTGTCCTGTCCCTCCAGGCCCTGGTCCAAAGTCCCTCTCCAGCTCTCCTGGAGCCCCTT